TTTAGAAACAAATTGTTGAATAATCGACAATTTGTCAATGATTCTCGCAAAAGTATTGCGTAGTCCTTTCCATCTTGCCAATCCTCGTAAAACGAACCGGAAAATCTGTCTCGTTCAAGAAATTTATTCCCGCCATCTTTATGGACAAAATAAATAAATTTGAACCATGCAAACCCTTGTTGCATTAATATGACTTATATAGACACATACATCACTTTCAATCGAGTCGTCATATTCATGAGCTGATATAATTGTTTTATGATATGGCCTGAACTTTGCCATAATAAAATGTGCTAACTTTGATTGAATTCTTATGACTGGGCGTTTTCCTTTATACGGTAAAAACGGTCAGATCGCTCCAGTTGCATGTATTTCAGTACAGACAGATTACTGTTGCATTTCAGTGCGGCATTATAGAATATTTCAAGAAGTCTGCATCAAGTATATTCAGTGTTATATTTACATCTTACCAGCACGGAAAATGCGCGGTTTCACCACTATCTTAACGAAATACTCTATTTCAATTTAAAATATGGCTGGTTTCACCATTTTGGCCGTTCAAAGAAAAGCGCCCATAAATTCTCATCGGGTTACAACCTCGTTCTTAGGTTTGACTGTGTTTCTGGCTGCATGTTATCACCATACTCACTGTGAATGAGCTAGTTGATGTATAGTCAGTGACATTGGATATATATAAACATTAATATCTATATCATTGCGTTATCTCCTGCAGTATATGTATATACAAGTTCAGCGTAGGCGTACACCCTTGATATATATGCTGTTGTTGATAAATCCTTCCGTTTCCAAGCTATTTAAATAAAGAATTTCTTTCTTGTCGCTAAAAGGCACTCGAATGCCGCTCAATTGACCATAATATTAGCACTCATAAACGATTATTAATAGTTGACGAAAATTGTGATACAAGGGATCGTCGTGTTTGAGACAATTTTTATCTGTTTGGCGAATAGCTATGCTAAGGCTACCTTTTGGTTTTAACTCTTGGAATGTAAAAAAAACAACATTAGAATTGAAAAAAGCCTGACAATAGAGATTTCAAATGAAGTTTACTATTGATAGTGCTTGAAAACTTCTTAAGTTGTACAAAATGCAGTCAGGTGTATGCGTTGTATAAGAGCTATATAGAATTTTGATTTAAGTTCTTTGGCATCATAGAGTAGACAAATCCCATTTTAGTAAGTAATTTCATATTTCCCTCAGTTTTTTTAAAATAATTTCACAATTCCGCAGTTGCTCGAAGTAATCTCATAATATGCTTGAATTGGTTGTTTCTTAGGTTATAGGCATTATTTATAGAATTTTTTTCCAAAAGATGTGGTCGTTAGAGCACCTATATATAAGGCCTGGCTCTTGATACATTTGTGGTTGTAGTGAATTTCTTAACAATGTAACAATATCAAGGTAAAACTATTGTGTAGATTTAAGAATTCCAAGGGACATAGAGTAAAGCACTTAGCTTTCCTTCACATATTGCATACACGTATATATTTACCGCCATACATGCATTCGGTGAGGTATATATATTTCAAGAATGAGACCAATTTTATTTGTTTCATTAAATGGCATTGAAACTTTGCAGGGAGTTGACTATTTCGGTGAATAATTTATATATTATTCTCAGATCGATTAATACTCTTTTTATGGGTGAGACGATCGAATTAAGAAGGTAAAGATCATTGACATTAAAGAGAGCTCCAGAAAGCAGTCGTTGTATTTATCAGAAACATTGATAAACTATACGTAAAAATAATCGAGCTTAAAGGGTTTCTATTATAATTATATATTTATCGGTAGGGAAATATATAGCTCATACAATTACAATACATTGTATATTCATTAAGTTGATAAAGCCCAACAATTTTTTAATAAAACTGAACGACTGCAACGTCCGTCCGTTCAGGATCTTTTATATATAGCTATATGAAGACATTTTTCAGGCCTCATAAATAGCGGCAGCTATAATTCCTGCATGGCGCCATTAGTCGAAGGCTGTTTTTTTTGCAATGGAATTAATTACTAGTTGGAATGTTTCTTTCTAATATGTTTGGTGAAGTCATGCGATCAGTCATTGTGGCTACACAGCGTGTGTCTCAATTAAAAAACAGTGCTTGCATGCATTGCCGTGGTAGCTATAGGAAATTCCTAAATGCATACGTAAATACTAGATATAAATATAACCCTGATTCTAAAATTGTTAGGATATAATGTATATGTTATACATTGTACCGAGGCGATGATATAATATGGTATAATACAGTATAACCCTCAAAATACGTTCATCAAAATAATGGTTATACTGAAGCTGTAATTCTGTATATGCATGGACTGTGTTTAATTGATCGAGATTAGCCTTCATAAAAAAGCATATGTCTTATAACCTCAGATTATTATCTTCATGTGTTATTTTTATCGTTGTAAAGACATTTTTTCAGAGTGCATGACCTGCATTTGATTTGTTCAGTACTGAATGCAGTCGTTGATCAAATTTTTAGTATGCACTCTAGCTAATATCCGTTTTTTACTGATTCGTCTAACTATAATAACTATTTTAATATAATATCGAACGAGTGAGCGCATGCAGCGAACGAGTGTGATATCTTTCTCGACACGAGAAATATATTCCATATTTCCATGTATCAATGTATTATTCTGTTAATATAATCTGTTTGGTAAAAAACTGGTTTTTTAAAAAGATTTTTATCCCCCTTCCGGATTCCGGATCGGTGGATCAAACACGATAATCGCACATGTGTTATGATCGATATATTTCAAAATGACGGATTCGACAATAAAACACTGCATATTATATAATAAATATATATAATCGGTTCAGAAAATGTAAAGATTTCTAATTCTTGTTTTTATGATAAAATTATAACGTCTTCAAATACTTTAAATCAGTATTTTAGGGTAGTATGTTTTGCAAATGGTTTTTGCTTAGTATACAGCTTGTCTTAAAAGTATAATTATTTGATCTTCCTGATATGGAATCTTTATTAATTGATTAAAACATTCCGAGAATTTTAAATTCCAATTATATACTCTTAAGCCAATGTAGTTTGAGATTAATGAGTTTTTAAAGATCTAAATTTAATTTACTAGAACAATCAAAATATCTTTAGCGAATACTTACTTTCCTTGAAGCATCGTGGAAAATATAGCATGAAATAGGTTAAATATTTTCTGTATTGACACAGTTAAAACGTTAATTATATTTACCGTTTAAAGATCTATAATTTTGCTTAACTGTTGGTCAAGCTTTAGCTATACAGGATTTTTTTTTTCATTTCGAGCCTACTTCTTGAGCTGGCTCTGAATTTTATAACTTTGTTGCAGAACAACCTCGATGGAATTAGTTGTATTTAACATTTCATAAGCGAAAAACATTCCAATCCTTTTCTTAAAAGCAGCATGAAAATACCACGCCGCTATAATCGGACAGACAGTATAATTATGTAAAACTATTTTTGCATTTTCGTAAGTAAGTCCATTTAAAGTTAGATAAAGTGTACGAGGCCTCTGCAGTCGTTACGCAACTTTAGTTTCAGTAGATGAGGAGAATACATGCTCCAGAAATGCAATATAGAAAGAACGTACAGCTCCGATCGAGCTTTTTTCCGTTAATTGTCATGCATATTCAAGTCGGAATGTCCAGCCTATTCCGCCCTAATGTTGTGATATATTTTTTTTTCTTTTAAAATTGTGATCTTACTGTAATCATATAACCTTAATATGTTTGAACATCAACGTAGACGATGCGGACATTTTTAAGTATATCAGCCAAACAAAATAAACTAATTAATTTTTTTAAGCCTATATAGAACAAGAAACATTTTATAAACAAGCTATGATGGTTTTATAAGTGTATTTATGTATTTTTATCTATTTCTCTTTAATCTTGTTGCAAACTTATCTCTGCATGAGCTCTTCTAGAGTATCAAAATATTGTCGTTGTGGATTTGATGTTGGTTAGATTTTGAGTTACTTTTTTCAGTCAAATACCTTCCAATTTAGTAAAATGTCATGCATCAGAAGAATGCGGTATTGAACTTTGGAATGCTATTTTTACATTAGGTTTTTGATAAATGACCCTAATTGTCCCTGTTCAACAATCCAAGTTAGCATAAATTCGTCGCTTGATTAAACATTTATCATCCAGAGGTATATTTCTTTATTGCTGCTCGCTTAAACACAACGCACTAGTAATTACGCGGTATCCATTTTTGACGTATATTATGCTCGAAGTCCGCAATAATGGCGTCTACGACTTTACATAACTTATTTTTGTGATTACTTACTTAAGTGCGAGGCAGTTAAACAATTGTAATCAAGCAACCGACTTTGGGCTCATTGCTAGCCTGCAAATCAGGCCAACTAACAACTTGAAATCGGGTTGGACTACACCAAATAATTTTAATTTTTTTATGCAAGCTCTTTTTTAAAGTATTTTAATCGTATTCATTCTTTATTTCATGGCACTTAGAAAAAACAATTTATAGTGCGATTCAGTATGTTTAGGTAGACAGTAATGCTATGTTACAGTGTTCCACTCTATCATAAAGTCTAAAAAAAATGGCCTGCGGGGAAATGTACAGTAAATAACAAATACCTATACACTTGCGAATTAGTGTAAGGTGCGAATTAGTGCAAGGTTCATATTCCACTACAATTCAAACTTCGATCATTCTTTTATCATTTACCATATTACAGCTATATTCATTTCAATACCTCACCAGTAATTTAATTTAGGCGGGGGAACATGTAAGCCGGATCATGTTAGGCACGAAGGCATCTGGACGGCCACTTTTAAGGATTTTGACGTCAGTGCAGTGGGTCTATAGTTTGATCTTATCCATAGGGCGACCTTTGATTCGTAATAATGTAGATAACGTCAACGTTTTGTGTCATAGCTTAAGAAACGCGGAATTTAAGCTCTGTTGTCATTATTGTCTCTTAATTGTCTCATTCTTCATTTTTAGATGTCGATTTTAACAATTCTGGTGATAGCTGCGCTCGTTACTCAGAGCAGAGCTGCAGGTAAAACACTTATATTTTCAGTATAGAAAGAGTTGTTGTCATGCTCTAATAATTATTTTGTGTTTTTCCTCGAGGAACCTCTAGTTTGCACCACAATGATTAAAAACATGATACTATAAGAGAGCTGAATTGGTTAAGTGGGTTTTGTTGGCGTTTTTACTTTTCGTTCTTCTAGTTTCCTTTTTTCTATTTCTATTTTAAGTTTGTTTATTTTGTTTTTGGTTCGGCTTGTTTGTTTCTTTTCATTTTATTTCATTTTCTTGTTTATTCTTTCCCTGTTGGTTTATTTGGCGGTTGGAGACTAGACTTGTTTCTTGCTTATCTTGTTTACACTTGCATCTTTTGTGGTGTTGTTTGACACTTTTATTTATTGCTTACCTTGTTTATTCACTTGTTTAAACTTTTTTTTGTATTGCTTGTCACTTTTATTTGTTGTTTATCTTGTTTATTCACTTGTTTCTTTGTTGTATGGCTTGTCGCTTATATTTGTTGTTTATCTTGTTTATTCACTTGTTTCTTTTTTGTATGGCTTGTCACTTTTATTTATTGTTTATCTTGTTTATTCACTTGTTTCTTTTTTGTATGGCTTGTCACTTTTATTTCTTGCTTATCTTGTTTATATTCACTTGTTTCTTTTTTGCATGGCTTGTCACTTTTATTTGTTGTTTTATCTTGTTTATTCACTTGTTTCTTTTTTGTATGGCTTGTCACTTTTATTTCTTGCTTATCTTGTTTATTTGCTTGTCTATTTTGTTGCGTTGTTTGACACTTCTCTTTATTGCTTACCTTTTTTATTTACCCTTTTCTTCGTGGCAGTTTTTGTAGTGTGTTTATTTTTTCGTTGTTTCATTACTTCATTTTTCTACGTTTAGATCCAGAGTATATATTATACGCGAATGCAACCCACGTAATGTACGTACCATCAGGTGGTGGAGAAAGTACAGTTATTCGCACAGTATCTAACGCAAAGTTAGGTTACGATGCTACAACAAGACGACTTTTTGTCTTCGAACAAACAACCGCGAACTTGCGCTCGATGAAACTAGATGGCTCCGATAGTCGTTTGTTACTTGATGTTATACGCATAAAAAGATTCAGTGTGGATGACATTCAGCAAAAGATTTATTATATCAACTCTGCAACTGATTATACTAACTCAGCAAACTTTAACGGATCAGACTCCAAAATCGTGCTTGGTGCTGGCCATGATGATCTCACTGATATTCAGGTGGATCCTTTGAGACAGTAAGTATCATCATGGACACGAGTAGGTGTGAAAAGATAGACAAGCACGTTGTCTTTCTGCAATAACACATTGACAAACTAGATATTGGGGAGAATATATTAATATTTTATTTATGAAACGTATTGTTTTACTATGTTTTTATTGCAAGAACAAAAGTTTCTGGAATTTGAAATATTAAATTCATAATCAGACACAGCAAAGAGAATAACGAAAAACTTCATGGTCTGGAATGCAATTTGAACCCACATTATCCTATGTATATTCGTGCGATTTCTCTAAACCCCCTATTGGAAGAAAAGTAAACCCCTAACAATATCCCTGGGTCACAAGCCTCGTGAAACACTAGGAATATTGTGTATGACAAAGATAAATATTGTTATTTGATTTTTCAGTTAATTTTGTTTCAGTAAAATTTGAAAAAAATACGTCACGAAAAGCGCGCAATGCACGACGGTAGTTGACTTAAACGCATTGCAGCACGCTCTCGTTAAATGGAGAATTTATGTGTCTACTATAGTCGTTCTCGTTTTATTTCCACCGTGTGTGATGGGAAAAAAACGTACAAGTTCGTTCTCATTGCAAAGTGTATAAATGCGAATGACAATCACATGCAGTAACCAGGGAGTTGATAGTTTTTTAATATCCCTGAGTACATGTGTACAGCAGAGTTGCGCTGGGAAACTTATTCATTACCTGACTTTCTGTTTCAGGTTGTTATTCTTTGCTGCTGATAATTCTGTGCAAAGAGATCTAGTTGTTTACAATATTAGCAGTGGAGTGCTAAGGACATTATACAACGCAAACAGTTCATCAATTAGGCTAACAATCGATAGATTGAATGAGATCATTTACTGGATAAGCTATAACGCTGATGGTGAAAGTTTTATCTTAAGAAAAACTGATTACAGTGGTAATACTACAGTTATAACCAGTTCGTTTGGAAGATCTGGAAAACCAGCGATTACCCAGATTGGGAATTATTACTACGTTCTTGATTCACCTCAGTCAATCATTCGTAAATACGATAAAGCCACTGATACCGTTGTTCAAAACATCACAGTTTACAGTGGAGCTGCAGATATTATTGGAACTAATGGTATGTTGATCGGCTAAGATCGCTTTTCAAAAAAAAGAGGAGGAAGGAAGCTTCTTCGATTGACCTGTCACATACGTGATCGTTATTATTATTTTCTGTTTGAAAGAATTGCTCAGACAACCGAAGCGATTTTTTTTCATATTTTGGAAGATTATTTTAAAGTTTTTCCGCTGAGTAACTTTGTTTCATAAAATTAATTGTTGGTTTTGAGAGTGCATAATCAATACTATTACTGAGCTTAACTAGGAGACGTTTTTGACGACACAAACGGCATGATTACAACGTCAAAAAACTGGGTCAAGGATTGTGATTGGTTGAAAACCAAAAACTTACGTCAAAAACGTCACTTGCTTAAGCTCACTGTTATTTCGTAAATTGTTTTGGTCGCTTTTATAAATACTAAACATTTTAGATCCGCGCTCAGGAAGTTCGTTATGTACTTTCTACATAAATATCCATTTACGAGTACTGCACCTATATCAGTTTTATAACGATACGTAATAATGTATCACGATGCAATACTATATCTTGACTGCAATATCTCTCAGTAAGTCATATTTAACTGCTGTGGTTAACTGTGATTATTTGTTCCGTAGTTTACCTTTATTTTCCTCAAATTTATTTTGTGATATAGACCTTAACGAATGTAATGAAAGTCCATCTCCTTGTGATCCGAAAGCAGAATGTAGGAATTATCTTGCTGGATTCTCATGTGAATGTATGTCTGGTTATACTGGAAATGGAACCATCTGCGAGGGTAATTAGCCAATTTCAGATTCATATTAGGCTCCACATAAAGTTGCAATGGTAATTCACATGGTTACAATTTTCTCCAATTGCTCTGTTATAACGGTCAGAAAAAACAGCATAAATTCTAGGAATATTTACTGGAATATGTATATTTCCGAAAAGCTGCTGATAGGCTGATCTGAATGTTTTGAATTTGGATTTTTTTTGTACCGTCCATGATGGTGCCTCGCGTGAACATTTTCTTGCCCAATGTTAATCAACCTATAATGATGCATGGCCATTTCGTTCACGGTGTTTGGTGGTTTTATGTACTATGGTTAAAATACGAGCGTAATACGATATGTTCAATACACCTAGGCCGCAACTTGTGAAATGAATTTGTAATGAATATGCAAATAGTATACAAACACTAGTTGTTCTGTCGGAAAAAATACAACCACTCGTGTTTGTAACTGATTAGCATATTTATAAATCTTATTTGTATGAGGTATACAAGATGTGCATGTTTATTTTGAAAATTTTAAAAATTATTTGGAAAACCTGATTTAATTTAACAGTTATTTTATAATATGTACGATACACTAAATTTTCATTTGTCAATATACTTTGTTAATACAGATGCATGCTTTCAAATAAAGAATCGCGTTTTTTCTTCCAGATATTAACGAGTGCAACGCAACAGGTGCTAACCTTTGTTCTGATGAATCGTTTTGTGTCAATGAGGACGGCAGATATCGTTGCGATTGCAGGCCTGGTTACAATTACAATGGCACACATTGCATAGGTTAGTTCTTCACTAAGCACATTTAAATGAGGTTGATAGATAAAATTGAGTCAGTTGTAGGGATCATTATAGACGATTTTATACGCAACAATATTGGAATTGAGTTTTAGGCTCATTTGTGATGTAAGAGTGGGAAGATAACCTCCTATACCGGCCATACGTGCCCTTTACAAGCTTGAAGAAGCAAGAGATAATGAAGTATAATGATTGATTAAAGTTTACAAAAAAAAACAAGCGAAGAGTATGGGGAAATGAACACAAGAAAATATAATCTCAAATTTTAAAACTTTGCCAGGGCTGAAAACTAGTCAATAATACAGAAATAATAGTGCGCATTATATTAATCTATACCTCCCCAAAAAAGTTTTTTATGTATTATTTCGTATCATTTCTCAATGCGTTATTGGCCGCTTTTAAATTGAGATATTTACCATCCATATTACGTCGATAGTGGCAAATACTTTAACTGTTTAATAAGCTACGACATGCACACGACACCTATATTTAATTATGCCTGCGAGACATGGAACAGAAATACGCTGCAAATCTAACAATATAGACCGCAAGACTATAACTCTCTTAATATTGTGGATGTCCTCATTTAGACATCAACGAATGCAACACAACTGATGCTGTTTGCCACCGGAATGCTACGTGTACCAATAATATTGGGTCATATTCTTGTGCTTGTGACTCAGGCTTCTCAGGGAATGGAACTATATGCGAAGGTGCGGTATGCATGAGAACTTTATTAATCATCGATGTATGGGATCTCAAACAATAATTTTGCATGATAATTGCAATAGGATGGTCTAGGATGTCAGGCCGTTGAAATTATGGCCGAATTTCTCTTATTATTAGCAATTTAGGACTTCTATCGTTAATTAAGTTGTTGAAATAACAAAAAATTTTATCAGACACCCGGGGCTTTGTCCGTTTCGTTACAAACACTTTTAAAATCTCGCTTGCCAAAACAGGGCTTAGCAGAAGAGCTTGGACAAAATCCTGAGCACGGAGAGTTATTCATATAGTGACTTGTCTGTGAACATTCTTTTTTTATATAACAGATATAAAAGCGTGGTATTTGAGACACCGGGTATAGTTCAGCTTTCAACGCTATTTGCTCTGTAAATTGCTTTTCAAGGTGTGTATTTGGATTTCTTTTCAGACTTGAAGTGTTATATCGACGGGATTTATTTAGCGACGACGACTGAAATTTATATCGTTAGTAATGGGGGATCAGAAACCAATACCTTGACATCAGCTACAAATGCGAAACTGGAATATGACGCATTAACCAAAAGAATACTGTATTACACGGATGATGGCTTTACATTATATACCATGAAATTAGATGGGTCGAATAAAACTATAATATCATCTGGTATCCGAATGAATGCATTCACGATTGATTATGACTCACGCGCCATTTATTACATAAGCGCTGTGGACAACAGCTTAGCAGGATTCCCGATCTCAAAGAGCTCAAATATCGAAGTGTTGATCGTTAATGATGGTGTTTTAAAAGATCTTGATATTGATACCTCTTCCCGGTAATTTTTTAATCTATTTTTCCCTTTCAACATTAGTGGGCAGATTTAATACATATGCCATCGTAAAAGTGTAGTTACGCTCTAAAAAGGACGGAGCAATTTAATTAGGTTAAGCTGCGTAAGTTACAAGTATCAAAAGTTACAAGCCAGCACTACATGACACTAATACAATTATTGCTTTCTCGCGCTCACTAAATATCAATTCCATTTGTTGTTATTTGTTTATTAGCTATACCTGAATATCTCTCTTCTTCTTTGCGATATAGCCTTCTGTTCTTTTCAAAATCCGACAACAATGGCGATATTGCTCAATACAATTTGACTTCAAAAACCGCATCTCAAATTCATCCCAAACTGGGTTTCCCCGAAGACGTTAGCGTGGATGGGCGGAAGCAAGTTGTCTATTGGACAAACTTTGTTTCTAACACTGCTGCTTATGAAATAAGAAAGTCGTACTATAACGGAACAACGGTCGTATTGAAAAGCTTTCCTGGATCATCAACTCACCTCAAACTTGCACAAGGTGAACGATATTTGTACGTTCTTAATCCAAGCACTTCGAAGTTGGATGTAATTAATAAGGAAAGTGAAGAAGTCTTGGTGACGTACGATGTGAGATCTGACACAGCTGCCATTGCAGTTGCCGCTGGTAAGAGATATACGGCTACGTTGTATTATGGAATAAAAAATTAATCTTGTGTAAAAAACCATCGATTTTTACCAAACCTGAACTGATAAAAACTTAAGTTAACATTCGTTTTCGTTTGTATTTAAGATGTGGATGAGTGCTGTCTTGGTGGTTATTGTCACATGTATGCCACGTGTACAAATGTGCCCCAAAGTTATGAATGCAAATGCAAGACCGGATTCAGAGGAAATGATACGTATTGTGAAGGTTCGTGATTGAACATATCATAATTATAGTTCAAACTATTTTTTGACATTGTTAATAATAACCGGGTCCGGGTTCTTAAATATGTTTTCAGATATCAACGAATGTGAAAATACAACTATATGTCACACTAATGCCACGTGTGATAACAATCTTGGATCTTATACTTGCACCTGTAATCCCGGTTTATCTGGAGATGGTAAAGACACGTGCATTGGTAAGACTATTATAATTCTGAACAAAGGACTATTTTACAGCTAGTATTATGGCGGTACACTGCATGTGCATGACTCCAGAGTGTATGACGTAACCGTATTCACTGGTCTGCCTACGGGTGAACCAGTTTAAAGAATCTAAATTTTCCCTGACTTCAAACAAAGAAAAATTCAACGAACTTGCATTATCATATAACAAAGTTGAAAAAGATGTTGCCTTTGTTTCAACTGCATGGGTCTAAAGATTATAGCAACTATATTGTTTGTTGAACCTGTGAAATGCCTGAAAGATGTATCATCGTACTCATTCATTTTTACAGTATTTGATCCCTGCGACTACGACAATTGTGACTCAAATGCTGCGTGTACAGCAAATGATGACAATTCCTTCAACTGTACGTGTAATCCTGGTTACAGCGGGAATGGGACAGTTTGTAAAGGTGAGAGATTTGATTAGTCACATACAATCAACAATCAATACATGCATATCCAGACAATCACAACAATCATATTGAGATGAAACGAAATCCTTACCTTAAAACGGAACATGAAAGGAAATGCTTGGAAAAGGGTTACCAGGACACACTACCGGAGAAAAGGAGGATTTGATTGTTAGAAATTAAAGCTGCCACGCGATGTGAAGCAACACTTAAAATGCTGTCAAAAAAAGCTCATTCTGCGAGAAATAAAGTTTCACTACTCCATGGGCAAGCACGGGCTCTACTGGGGTACATGGTCGCTTGTTTGAAGGATTATTATAGTTTAACGGCCCCTAAACATTTCAATCTTACTAGCGTGAGAGCTTTCACCAGAACCTGTTTAGAAGGAATGGTGTGGACAAAAGTTATAATTCAATATCTACAACCCTAAGTTCCTTTTAGTTGTTTTGGTGAATGTTAAGTATTATCCTCACCGACCTTAAGGCTAGTTTCCACTCAGGAAAAATCTCCTTTGGATCGAAACGGACAGGAAAATTTCCTTTGTCGTTGAGTTCTCAAGCGGCGTTTATACAAAGGGAACTTTTTCTGTCCTGTCCGATCCAAAGGAGAATTTTCGTGAGTGGAAACTAGCCTGTACCATGGCAGTCTTTGAAGTGTTGCAAAAGGTTTTACTTTCGCACGTTTTGTTTTACTTTGGCATATTGTTGAAAGTAATATTAATTAAGATTTCGTATGCCGTAGATGTTGACGAATGTAAAGAGGACACGTGGCCTTGCCATGCCAATGCCACATGTGAGAATGATATTGGGAATTTTACTTGCACTTGTAAAGATGGGTTTACTGGTAATGGAACCTATTGCAATGGTTAGTAATTTTATACTTGCCGTTTATTTATCAATTGATTTCGGATATCAATTATTTATCATATCATTAAAATTAATTTTATTTCTGTACAGACACTAACGAATGTCATAATGCGACATACCCTTGTCATGCTGATGCCGATTGCGTCAACATTCCTGGAAATTATACGTGCATGTGTAAGCCAGGTTTCAGCGGTGATGGACAGGACTGTATGGGTAAGTATTTTTTTTCTAGTTTAGCTTTTCAGCCTTTTATTGCACAGGAATTACTAAGTACACAAAAAATGGCGCACGTTTCTGCGTATCACAAATGCCATTGAGGCGAAAAACAACTCAATCTTTGCGATCATTGTTGCTCGATTTCAAGTTGCTCCCAATTAAATCTATGGCGTTACATAAAAACAAAAGATTTTTTACATTACAAAAGCATTCAATCTTTAGGTATTGGTTTTGTCACGATTTTCTATAAATTGTAACTTTACTAACACTATTTTTGTCCAAATGTACAGGGTGTCCCAAAATATGTCCCCTCTATTGAAATCAAGGAGAATCAATAGAATTCTATTGCCTTAATAATTTTATTATGATAAACACAATTGAAAGCAAGACACTTTATTTGAATGCCTCAACCTAATAACTTTGCTATTTACACGCTACTGCGTTGATCATGCATTCAAATTCCAGAAAGGCAAACGAAGAGATATACATGACGGCTTTCTTGTGGAGGCTGGACGATGTTGTTTCTTCGTGCTTGCATGGCTCTTTCGCTGAAATATCAAATTGCACTTAAATTTCAATTCCGGGGCTTCCTACCTACAGTACTAAAACATTTCGCTCCCTTTTTTTCAGCAATCGACTGTGATGTGTTAAATTGTGGTTCAACTGAAATGTGCGTGTCAATAAATGGGATATATCAGTGTGTTTGCAGTCCTGATTATAAGGGGGAAAAGTGTGATGAACTTAGTAAGTTAACTGCATATTCTTCTTTACTCCATCGTTTCTCATTTATGTTTGCTTTGAAAAACTTGCGGCTTTGTTTTTTATATTTTTTAAGTACTTTGTTTGGAAATTAGATTTCATGTCTCTATTTTATAGTCGTGGGGAAATGTTATGCCAGAGGTGATCCACATTACACGACATTTGATGGTACACACTACGACTTCATGGGCACATGTGAATATACCTTGGCAAAAGACTCTGTAAACAACACCTTCGAAATTCGACAAGTGAATGAGCTTTGTGGGAGTGGATTGGTTGCCTGCACTAAATCAATATCTCTCACTATTCCTAATTATGTTGTTGTCCTTGAAAGGAACCGTGTAAAAGTGAATGGTGCAACTATAACCCCGCCTATGAATTACACAGGTAAAAAATGTCTTTTTTTTCAACCTTATCATCGAAAATCAGTTCCAATTCTTTCAACCCTTTTTTCCAAGTTTCAGGCCTTAATTTATAAATAAACTGATTCTAGGTCACGAAATGGAATGTTTAAATGCAAAATATTTTGTATATTTTCAAAAAAATGTCACACCAAATGAAAATATTTCGCTCTTTATCAAGATGCAATGATGAGTATTTACAAGGAAGGGTCTGCGACACGAGTCAGCGTAACGAACGGCGCAATAAAAATCATTTGGAACAATGTATTTAATGTTGAAATTCTGGTGTATGGTCGCTATCGGGAGAAGGTTGTTGGTCTATGTGGAACTTTCAATGATGATAGTTCCGATGACTTCCTCACATCCGGTAATATGACAACAGGAAACGTGACAGCATTTGGTAATTCGTGGAAGACGGATCCGGCTTGCGCTGACGCGCCAACAGTTGAACATCCGTGCATTACAAACCCCAATCGTACAGAAAATGCCCGACGGGATTGTTCAGCTCTCTTAAAGGCACCATTTTGGGCGTGTAATGAAACAATCAACGCAACAGAACAGTATTTCATCGCAGATTGTGAATATGATATGTGTGCTTGTGAAAACAACCCTGCCGCGTGTCTCTGTCAAATTTTTGATTCCTACGCTGCCGCGTGTGCCGCTGAGATGGTGAATTTTGACTGGAAAAATGATTTCCCTCGATGCAGTAAGTGATCAAATTTTGGAAGTCTAATTTTAAATTTTGGCTCCCCTAATGCCGCGTAACTAAGCAATGTAAAAAGGGGGAATTTCTTTTTGAACAAATATGCATGTATGTTTGTTTACATGTTTTCAGACAGAGCCAATCAGGATCCTAAATATTTGATACCGGAAGTAAGTAGTCAAGATTTATGCATTCTGATTGGCTTACTGAAAATGTAAACAAATATGCTGATTGGTCTAAAACGAAATTCCCCCTTAATTGTTGCTTATTAAACATTTAAATCTCCTACGCGACAAAAAAGGTGGTCTTAAAGTTTGTTTTAGGTTTTCAGATCTGTGGTGTATGTCGATAGCCCCCAATGCAAATAATCCAAATCATTCAGGCAAATCTGGCTTTTTGGCCAAAATATTTCCATGTGCAATCACGCCATGAATATTATCTCTGTGATGTAATCTAATCTTCTCGCCAGCGAATAGTTTTTGGGTTGTACGTGCCAATTTCATTTTCACTTTGGACTATTCACTATTATAATAAGTATTATTTAATATATAGTTTGTTGACTTGACAGCAACTGGAAAAGCACTAATATTTAATGATAACTAAGTAATGATTTCCTGATTTTTCTCGTTAAATGTATATTTTATTAAATTTTAAGGTTATATAAATAACTACTGTAACTTTGCTACATAAAACGATGATTTCCAGGACCATAGTTTATGGCTGTTGCGCGTATCGAATATCTGGGGATTACCTCGATTAGATTGATGTATAATAACAATAATAATATTTTTTTTTCTATTACCCACATGGACTATTTTCTCTGAATATTCTGTGTTTAGGTACTCCATGTGCAAGCTCTCCATGTTTCAATGGTGCAACTTGTGTTGACGAGGGTGCCACCAGCTACACCTGCCAATGTCGTGATGGATATGTGGGTGATCGTTGTGATATAAAAGGTCAGTCCATATTTTGCCTAATCCTTTTTTCTTTTTTTTTTGTTTAAAAATCTAATTAATGAATGCAAAAGAACGGTTAGGGAGTGATTCAAAAAATTGGAGCACATCGAATTGGAAATCTGATGTTCTGATGTGGATATTTTGAAACAAACGACTAAAAATAGATTTTAGAATAGAATATTCAAATTATGCGTCAGTTTGTGTAAGGTCGAACGTCTTTCTATCAGATTTTACAAACTAACGCCTGTATTCGAAAAGTTCACTCACACTAAAACTCATTGAGTGGGAGATCTCAATCTTCTCATAACTTTTCCATGGCGGTATTTTCAGTCAACCAATATCTTGATTTTCAATGTTTTACGTTAAATCTTTTCATTGATTAAGAAATAATTTTTTCAATGATTAATAATAACAAAATCTCAACGTCACACTTAAAGAGTGTAAGTGAGCTTTTTGAATACAGGCGTAACTATCAATAACGCGAAATACAGTACGAAATTTGCAGCGAAGTTATCGAGGCAAAGCCAATTATGAATAGTTTTTTTTTGCATAATTATCAAGCACCGGAAATTTTGCACATCGATGCCTATGGCTTTTAGATATCTAATAATAGTGTTAATTCTTTTTAAAATAATTGTTGATTTTTTAGATGTTTGCGATATTCCTGCCCGCATAGCCTATGGCGACAATGAAATAAACTATGAAGTAACTTTGGATAACGTGACAACATTAAGACGTATTAGTACCGTAGGAGCACAAGATTTGGATTATGATCCCGTGTCTCGACGATTGTTTTACTACAATTCAGACAACTTCTATAGCATTGAACTAGATGGTTCGGACCTAAAAGATTTAGGTGAAGTGAGGCAGGTTACCAGATTCACAGTCGATGGAAGAAATAACATCATCTACTACGTTCACGACTCAACTGACACAGTTTATATGTTTAATTTGACGGATGCGAAAAATATTGAAGTTAACGATTTGAAAAGTGTTACCAGTGTTAAAGACGTAGACATGGACAGCAAAAATGGGTAAGTTGAATCAGTTTTTTAATTTATTACTTTCAATTTTATGTGTTATTATTATAATAATGATAAGCAGTGTTTCATTGGCGAATCCGCCATTGTGAAAAGCGACAATAATTGACATAACTTTAAATAAATGCAATGTTTCCATTTTCCTGTCAGGGAAAAAACATAGGCAGCCCAATGGCGAATGGTTTTATTTGATTTAAAAATGTATACACTTTGATAAAATTCACACATATGTCATTTATTTACGTGCTAATATACTTAAATCCTGGCAAATAAGGCAATGTATAGGTATAGCTATTATATATATAATAAATTATATCCTAATAGGATATAAATCTATTAACTATAAATCAAGTATCTCCCTAACAGTTAATTTGATGTCAGTGAGACTGAGACCTGGTCAAAATGGCAAATATTTTTAAATAGCGAATGCGTCATCTCAGTTGAAGAATAATGTCACTATTAGGACCATCCAGTGATGAAATGTGGAATGTTCTTCCAAGTCAATGCCTTAATGTGACACTTTTTTCTAACATTTTTTATTGCACGTTTTTAGCTTTCTGGTAATCGCGGCAACAAGTGGTGAAAATATAGTCCGATATAACGTTGACACAAAAGAAATGAATGTACTTAAAAAAGTCGGCGATTTTCCTCAGGATTTGTCTGTTGATGGCGATAACGAACTGGCCTATTGGGTAAACTTTGATGCTGATACAGGAAAACAAAAAGTCATGAGCACCTCCTACGGTGGTCACACAAATGATTTAAATATCACTTTTGATTCCACGATTGAAATAGCTCATGATGAACTCTACCTTTTTGTTCTTTTTGTTTCTGATGTAATGGTCTACAAATATAAGAAAAGCACACTGGAACGTATGGGAAACATAACTGTTCCTATTGGAACGAAAGGAATCGATGTTGCATTTGGTAAGATGTTTATTTTGAAGCTGAATACAGCTATGAATATTGAACAAAGTTGGCCTTATTTTATAAACACTCTCACACTATCATGAAAAGTTTGATTGGGATGCGTATTAGGGCACGATTTTTAGGTAAGCGAGTGATAGCATGGTTTGCAAACGTAAAATAAATCATATTATAGCGTTATAGTGAAATGTCGAAATTGCGTATTCTGTCTTGATATAGATCAAGATGAATGTTGTATTGGCACATTCTGTCATGAGCAGTCCACCTGTGTCAATTCCGTTGCTAACTTCACTTGCACCTGTAACAATGGATATTCTGGAAATGGAACATTTTGTAAAGGTATTCACATTTTATCAAAATGCCTCAAAACGAAACAGAAGAGAAATCCATTTTGTCCATGCAATGTTGTCACTCTCTAAATGTTTTGAGAAAACAAGATCCAATTACATCCTGATGTTTTCTTCCTCAGATATTGACGAATGCGCTGAAGAACGTTGTCATCCGAACGCTACTTGTCAAAACAATCCTGGATCTTTTAAATGTGATTGCAATCCAGGCTTCACTGGCAGTGGCGTAGATTGTGCAGGTATTTGTCAAAAAACTCCAAAAAGGTGTATTATGTTGATTAATTGTGGAATCATAATTTTCTCTTCTGTTTTATATCTTCCCTGGTGATGCATTTGCTTAGGCCCATTTCAGACGTAGAACTTTTCTTGTGCCGAACCTCATGTTATTGAGCTAAAGTCTATTTGAGCTATAGTCTACTCGATTCGGCACATAAAAAGTTTGACGTCTGAGACAGGCAATAGACCATTTCAGCTTGCTTGCAAATTAACCATTTCAGATGTTGTGATCAAGGAAAAGCTAATAAAACTTAACCATTTCATACCGTGTGATTTGATTTGCATACAAGCTGAAAAGGCTGTTAGCATGACGAGATTACGACGTTTTGTTCGAGACCTGTTATCATGATTGTTTACCTGTCTTTTTTAAAAATAATTAAGGTATAAATAACAGATCCTCATACAGTCTCTCATGCATTTATTTTTAATTTCAGCAACCAACTGCAGTGTTCTGGAATGCGGACAGAATCAGGTTTGCGACAACGTGGGCGGGATATTTCAGTGTGTCTGTCATGATGATTATACTGGTGCCGATTGCAGCGAACTTCGTAAGTTTCTTCTTTAGTTTCTAAAGAAAGTGAAAAAGAGGTCGAAAACCGGTTAAAGCAAATGTTTACATTAAGAGGAGATATTTTTCTATGTCGCGTAATATATGCTCAAAACCTCAGTTATATCTTCATGCAACACTAAAATTTTCAGCATTAATAATGTTTTGCAAACCTGAAAAGCATCCATAAAGTATGTTTACTGTGTAATCTCAAAATATTGTGAAGATGAAAAGATTTCTCGGGATACGCCGAGAAGAAAATGACACTTGAATCGAAGCTTCTTTTGTATTCATTTCAGTTATAATGGTGTTGACATTATAACATTGTTGATAGCCGCCGCATTATATTTTGTAATAACTCCTTTGTTTGGTGTTTTGCATTCACCAAATACAGTTCAAAACTTAGTTCACAACATAATCTAAAGAATGACGGTAAAATAAATGGATTTTGAGTGGTACGCCGAAAAGATTTTAGGTTTTGAGCGTTTTCCCGCCAAAATACGCGACATAATAAAAAATCTCCTCTTAATCTTTGTTAATCGCTTGTTCACAAAGTTGAATATCTCTTTTCATATTTTTAAATTTTTTTTTTCTTTTTCAAATTAATTTTTTGCAGTATATATAACGCGTTTTTAAACCTTTTCTCTTCGCGTTGATAACAACAGTAAAATTTATTCGAACGCAGAGCACGAACCACAATTAAAACAAATCATTGCCAGAAATCGCGGACATGGAATATGAGGATTGACGAAAATAATTTGGATATTCTTTCAAATATTTGTCATTTGCTGCTCTATAAATTATATTTTCAATTGTCGAATTCTCGAATTCGGCAAATTTTAGAAAAGCATGGAGAGTTTACAAATTTCCCTAGTTATTTCTTGTAAATCAAGGCATATCGAAGTTCCTTGGGTAATGTTTTCTTGTTTGGGTTTATTTTACTGCATTTCTACACCCGTTTTATAATATGGTATTCAACGTGATAAATGGATAAAACTTAAGCTTGGAAAAGTAGGAAGAATACTAATGAAAAATTTTGAAAATCAACTTCAAAATATTCAGAATAACTATTCTGCTACTGGCAATCAACTCAAATTACAACCGACGTACTAATAGTAAAATTTTAGCGTTTAAAGTCTTTGTGTTATGCAGTTTACTATAGACTCACTCGGCCACAGTTTGACACCGTGTGCAAATTTTTTTTCGGAAGTAGAATGTTGATTATATCAGAAATTTCTGGCCATGTAAAGAATGCAAACACTGGGCATGCATAATGCATAAACCATTTAGGTTATTGTGACTTCCGTAAGAATAATCAAAATTTATATTATACAGTATATAAGCCTGCATCATTGAAAGAATTTGACATATGCAGCCCTGTGCCGTTAATTTTATCGCTTCTTTTAGTACAACTTTACAATCAGTTTTAAAATTTTCTTTTAGTGAAAGCCTCTTGCAAAGCTCGAGGTGATCCACACTACTCAACATTTGATGGAACAACGTACGACTTTATGGGCGATTGTGAGTACGTACTGGCCCGACACAAGAGTACGAACCCTCTTTTTGAGATCAGACAAAAGAATGAAGTTTGTAACGGATTTGCGACTTGTACGAAATCAGTTACTATATCCTTACCAATGTTAACCATAAAACTTGCCAGAGGTAGTATTATGATTAATGACAGCGTAGGAGATCTTGGCACGTATGGAGGTAAGTTAAGCTTTCTTCCCATCGAACATTAAAAATATAATAAAAGCCATATGGTTTATGGTAGGCTCCTAGCCCACATTTGTAAATAAAAAATTATATCATCTTTATATCATATAAATATTGGGCGCACTTATTAAAAAAAACACAAAAAAAAAACATTGTGCGATGGAAAATGATGAACAATGACATAGATAATCCTGACACTCTCAAAAACAGGGCGGACTAAACTACGTGTATGACCCTCAGACCAGATGCTAAAATTTTAGCCCCACCTTTCCCTTGCGTATCACTGAACGCTGTATTCTAAAAAAATTAAAGCTCGCTCGCATATAACTTCATAAGTGGAAGATCTATCTCTATCTTCCGAGTTCTATGACGTTATTTCCACGGCCACTCTAATAAAGGCTTGATTTTCAGTGTTTTACTTTTAGTCCTTCTGCTTCTCATTGATCAGTAATAACAAAATAATATAATCATGACCCTCAATGAGTGATACTGTGGGTGAGCTTTTTGAATACAGGCGTTAATGGCCCTCTAGACCGCTTGAACCTTAACCCAGGTACCGTCGGCTCATGCAGATTACCAAAGATTTACTGTCTACATTTCTTGCATAAAATTGTTCAAATCATTTGGAAACGGAAGTCAAGTCCGTATAATTATATAAACAAGCTGTTTGAATATTTTAATCTTTTTTAAAAAATACGATGCGCAGTCTGAATATCTGACGGCCCTTACTTCCACTTCAAACAATCATAGTAATATAATAAATTAAATTGATATTTTCTGTTCTTATTTCAAATTAATATGAATTTATTATGTAATTTCTCTCCAAGAGTGAGTCTTCTTAAAAGAACAGTAAACTGATAAACATTTTCTTTTATAATTTTTAGGGGTAACTATTTCAAAACCTTCTGGCAATAATATATTAGTAACAACTGATATTGGGCTAGAAATTTTCTGGAACAACGCTGCGAACGTGAGAGTTACTGTCCTGGGTAGATATAAAAATCAAACGGATGGTCTCTGTGGTACATATAACGACATGACATCAGATGACTTCATGACCTGGAATGGTTCAATTGTAACTGATCCAGTAGCGTTTGGTAATTCTTGGAAAGTTGACCCGAACTGTGATGATGCTAGTGTTCATGCTAATCCATGTGATAAGGATGCGGTGTTGGCAGCGAGAGCTCGAGATAACTGTTCAGCTTTGCTTTATTCTCCTTTCAATGCCTGTGCAAGCAAAATAAATGCGACGGAAGAAGGATACATCAAAGACTGTGAATTTGATGTCTGTGCCTGTGGTGATCGTAATCCTGATGCCTGTTTGTGTCAAATCTTAGCTGCTTACGTTTCTGATTGTGAATCAGAAGGCGAGAAAATCAACTGGCTCTCTTTGCCCCAGTACAATTCCAGTTGCAGTAAGTTATCACATAGGCTATGTACACACAGTAACGTTTTCAAGCGTTTTCGCATTCCTTTTCATGCCAAAACGATCTCAAACACAGTCAATTTACAGTTGAAGATAATTTGATCATATTTTTTCTTGGATCGTGAATGACATAAATCAACCTGATCTTTCCTTGACATCGAAGCAATAAAATTAATAGACAAAAACGTTTTTTAAAACGGTTGAAAACGACGCTCATGTGCGCATAGCCATAACCAACATGCGCCTAAATAAATCAATCACTTTGAAGCCTGCGGTGCAAAGATTGCATAAATGAATGGGATTAGTGCATGCTTATCTCCCTCTGCTTCGGATTCCCCGGAACAAGGGGGAATCTCGTTTTAGACCAATCAGCATATTTGTTTACATTTTCAGTAAGCCAATCAGAATGCATTAATCTTGACTACTTCGAATAAAAAGTTACATAATTAGCCATTTTACATGAAGTATTAAAAAGTTAGGAATTCTGATTGGCTCTGCCTGAAAAATGTAAACAAATAATATGCGTATTTGTTGAGAACGAAATTCCTCCTTGTTACTTCCCATAGTTTTGTGTAACACTTATTTACCACGACCAAAGGAAACATTATTTTTTTGTGGAATATCGCCTCACGAAATAATCTTTTCTAGCCTCTCCGTGCGCAAGCTTCCCCTGTTATAATGATGGTACTTGTTCAGAGACCTCTGGGACGTTCACATGCGACTGTCCTGCTGGTTTTACTGGTCAACGCTGTGAAATCGAAGGTAATAACACATTAAGCAAGATTATAGCGACAAGATATCCACATCGTGTGTCGTAATAATTAAAGTATAGCTCCACTATTAACTAACTACTTTGTTAATCGGAACTCGCTTATCGTAAAACGTTTGTTGAAATTGACGGTCCTTTAAGTTCGTTATGACTGCACGAAATCAGATGTTGATACATGAAACTTATCATTTGTAGATTTCGTCGAACATTGCATTTAACCATATACTATTTCATACACGATTTCAATGTTGAAACAGATAGAGAAAAATGGCAGGGCGGTGTAAATAGTGAATACATTTTGCTTCGCTTTTAGTCGATTTTTTCTTCTGATGGATGTAATGAATAGATTCCGGATGTGCAAATAAGGGTACTTTTATATCGCTCACTTATGTCCACCACAAAGTGCAGCTAAATCGCACCTAAGCGAAAATGGGCATTTATATCCAAAAACATTAGCGAGTTATTCGTCAAAGTTTTAAAAGAAGTTTTTGTTGGTTTAATTTGCTGCTGAATATTTTGATAAGAAATTCATATTGTGTTCTAGTATTGCAGTTTTATTGATACTTCCTATCTTTTAAAAAGAATCCTGAAACTATCAAATCTATTTGTTTCGTTCTGTATTAGCCATTTCGAAGTTCTAGTCGAAGATTAACAATAGTAAGGCTGACAATGCACCAATGATCAGTTTTGGGGACATAAAAAAAACGACCCGTGATTTCTGGGTGATAATTTAGCGGGAACATGCCAAGATACACTTGCCAAATTGTTCTCTGGCAATGAAAACCAGCCAACTAACAACAGATTGAAAATACGTTTTCATTTTTTTTGTTTAGTGAAGAGCTGTAATGACCTCTCTTGCTCAAAAAATCAAGTTTGTAAAAAAATAGGTGATACATACCAATGCGTCTGCCATGAAGACTATAAAGGCGAGACTTGTGAAGACATAAGTAAGTGTAACACAACTAAATCTACTTAGTAAAAATACTAATTTTTCTTAGAGCAATACCTTCCCCCTTTTTTTCAGTTTCTGCATTTTTCTTTTTAAACTGTTTCCTTCTTCTATCTTTCTATAGTCGAAGCCTCGTGTGTAGCTTATGGAGATCCTCATTACAGGACACTCGATGGAAAACGGTTTGACTTCATGGGTAAATGCGAATATATTCTGGCTAAAGACAGAGTAAACAACACATTTGAAATAAGACAAGAAAATGAACCTTGTGGAAATGGACTAGTAACATGTACAAAATCAATAACAGTCATCTTCCGGGATGTAACTATTAAACTCAAAAGGGGATCAACTTTAGTTAATGGTGGTGAGGTAACACTGCCGTTTTCATATAAAGGTGAGGTAATATGACGTATCTAAATCGATGATTATTGTAATAGAATAATTGCATGTAAAATTACCTGAATTTGGTAAAACCTACAATCTTGAATGCTTACTTAACTTCCTCTAGAAAATTGAGTCTCTTTCTCCTGAACTATTTTCTTTCTAGTGAAAATTATTACTACACAGGAATACACGACTTTAATAAAATTTGAGGAAAAGAAAGTTTAATAGTTCCCATGAATCTCGTTTCAAATCTAGACATCTGTGCCTTAAATATAAAAAAATTAGATTGTGGAAGTGAATGCAAGGCGGCATTAGGCCGTTTCATGCATGAAGTTATTGTGTACATTATACTCATTAATATAGTGGCATTTTCAACATTGTAAAGGCTAGTTTCCACTCAGGAAAATTCTCCTTTTGGGCAGACAAGACAGGAAGGTTTCCTTTGTACAAAAGCCGCCTGAGAACTCACCAAAAAAGGAAATTTTCTTGACCGTTCCACCCAAAAGGGAAATTTTCCTGAGTGGAAACTAGCCTTAACGCACCTCTTTAAATTTCCTATCCAATTACCAAAACCTGAAATAAAATGGCTAATTATCGTATAGTTACGACATTTACATATTTTACTAGAGCAATCTACTATGTACAGGGTGTATAAAAAAAGAAGACCTTTAGAAATTAAACTATTGTTATAATTTAAAGGCCCCATCACTACACTAAGCCCTTGGATGCGTAAAATATTGTCAGCTTTGTGCGTATATTACATATCTTTGTTTCAAGCACAAAAGCCTTTCTGCTCCTGGGAATTTGACATAACTTCTAAAAGGAAAATGCCGCACGATAATGCATGGTCAAAAAATAGTTTTTATCGTCCAGACCTATATACAGACGTAAAAAATAGGTACGTACAAACACGCTTTGAGAAAGATTCTTGATTGTAATTCACCGGTGAAAACTGAAAAGCAGGAACAGCAACCTGGAGCAACGCCGGTGCATGCGAAATTAATGAGCAGTATTAATTCGTGCCTGCGTTAGATTTTATTCGATTGTGCATGTTTGTGCACCCGTGGGCTTAGAAAATTGATCAGACATTTAAATTATACAAATAATTTGATTTCTAAAGGTCCTCTTTTTTTTATACACGTTGCAAAGTTTGTATAAAAAAGTACCCCCCACTAAAATCAGGCTTTTCTTCGAATTTGAATGTTTTATTATTATGCCAAACTCAAGGATGCTTAAAATGTAAAACGAGACGCTCAATTTTAATGCCTTAACCTAATTACTTTGCTTTTATGATCATTATTTTATAATCATGCATTCAAATTCCAGCAGAAGTTTCATTTTAATAAGGGGGTACTTTTTTATACACCGTGATGTGTATAAACTTAATCAAAACAAGCTATGACAATAAAGAATAGTTTTTCTCGATTTTTTCAAGTTCAGCTATATTTTTTGTTCTTTCGTTTTTAGGTGTCAACATCACAACTGAGAACCGTCGAACATCGGTCATAAGTGATTATGGTGTGAAAGTATTTTGGAACAATGTCTACAACGTACGAGTGGTTGTTCGAGGTCGATACTTGAACAGAACATCAGGTTTATGTGGTTATTATAACGAAATGGAAGATGATGATTTCTGGACGTCTTACGGAACAATCGTAACTGACCCAGTACAGTTTGGAAATTCTTGGAAAGTTGATCCTACATGCGAGAATGCAACTACAGTGGATCACCCATGTGACGCCAATTTAGAGAGAAGATTGATAGCACGAGAGAATTGTTCAACATTACTTAAACCACCCTTCAGTAATTGTTCCAGTTATATCAATGCAACTGAAGAAGGATATATTTCAGATTGTGAATATGATATGTGTGCTTGTGAAGATGATCCTGTTGCTTGTTATTGTCAAGCTCTTGAAGCGTATGCTGATGATTGTTCACCCCATGTTGATATAAAATGGAAGGAATTAAATGAATATGCAATTTGTCGTAAGTAACAAATATTCTGAACATTAGCGCAATAGCGATGTGTTCTTCCCTGTAATATTTTTCTTACATCTAAATTGGAACCTGGATTAGTATAAATTATAATACTTGATACAGGGTGTATAAAAAAAATGCAAATACCATACTGTTTTGTAATGGCTGTGCAACTAAGTAGCTACGCTTTTGGAATTTAAAAATACATTTCCACGTGCAGTACTATTAAAATCACCACACAAAATGAATTAAAAGTAGTTCTGTTCTTAACTGAGCCATTCATAATCAAACTCATAAGTTTAAGCTTGTTTTGATAACCCTAGAAAACGTATTTTTCAAATACATGAAGCGTAATTACATTGCACATCCATTGAAATTCTAATGTCTGATTTCGCGCATACAAATCATGGTATTTGCAATTTTTTATACACCCTGTTTTTATTTCAAAGTCGCAAGGAAAAGTGTTTTTGCCCTTTTACGTGATCACGGCATAAACTTTTCGTATTACGCAGCAAGATTAATATATTTTATATACGATATATTTTTTTAGCTTATGTAGGTGGCCAATAATATTTCTTCCATTAAAAAAAGAGCAATGAAAAAAATGTGCAGAATTAAATTTTTGCCATATTAATGTCTCAACAGGTACCCCATGTGCAAGTGCTCCGTGTTATAATGGCGGAAGTTGTAAAAATGTTGATTCCTCGTCGTTTGAATGTAGTTGTCCTGCAGGATTCCTGGGAGATAGATGTGAAATTAAGGGTAGGATCAATATTAATTATAACACAATAATTATAAGATCTAGTGCATTCTACCTTGCTAATACACTAATAAAAAAACTTTGTTTATAGATCGTTGCCAAATACCATATTTATTCTTCTCAACATCATTGGGAACGGTGTCTTATAATACAGAAAACTCCACAAGTATCCCAATGAAGGTTGACGATCGAGTAAACGCCTTATTGTCATATGATGGTATCAACAAACGGTTGTATCTCTACATCTCTCAGGAAATAATAAGTTACTACCTGGATGGATCTGATGTCACCGTAATGCCACTCAAAGATGCGGACTTCTTCACCGTTGATGGAAGACGAAGTGTGATATATTATTATCATGCTTTGCATTCAAGAATTTGGATGTACAATATTACTGATGGTCAGAACACTGCCGTTGATGATCTTAGCGATGTGGCATCTGTGAAAGATGTGGAGATAGACATGACTAACGGGTAAATATTTTCTGTTGGCATAATAGGATAATATATCTTCAAAAAATTAATTTTGTAGAGATGATGATAGACCGTTCATACAATTGACGTAGATATAGTTAGCGTTATATTTATTGATGCAAATGCAGTTATTCTAAATGGCTCTAAATAGTAATGTCCCATGGATTTCTCGTTAATTCTCATGGTATTCAAGTTAAATAAGAGATTATTCTTTTTGTGCACAAAAAATGGAAAAGAGAGGGCCAACAATGATTCGATTTCTAAAAAAATTGAGAGAATTTTTGAGATGAGGTTATATATATATATATATAAGCCAGGAACAGTTGAAGGAAAAACATGTCAGCTATTGGTCTTCCGGCGGGAATCGAACCTACGCTTTTGCGATGCCGGTCATTTGCCTATTCCCAGCATTATCATTATACACATTAACCACGCTTACGCTCTTTTCAGCTACCTCTGTAGCTCTGCGGTGGCAAGAGCATTGCACCGGCATCGCAAATGCGTTGGTTCGATTACTGCCGGAGGACCTATAGTTGACCCATTTTTTCCATTAGTTATCTGTTCCTGGCTTGAATTTGAAGTGTGGACAATTCCGCTCGATGTTAAGACCCTTTAAACCTCTAGTCTATGCTATGCCGCTGTAATAATGAGAAGCCTTCTCTCCCTTGATCAGTATAGGTTTGGAAGTGGACCTTCATTATAGGGTCCTAAAATTTTTTAGCGTAGAAATTTAGTGTGTTTAATTTTGTGATTTTTATAAGTTTACGATAACACTGGGCTAGCTGGTGCAAAAGTCGCCTTCCTAAACTTCCTTAAAGTTTCATATGACAGCAGTTGGTACTGTCGTCATGTTGCGCGCAGGAAATATTTTCTTTTTGATCCCAGTCCCTAACCGCCACCCTATCCTAACCGCAAATCACGAACTCCGTTACATAACGATATAATCCAACAGTTGACAAATTGTTGGTCAGAAACAGAATCTTTTTCTTATTTTGTCGAAATGCGAACAAAAAGCAAAAAAAATTGGATAACTCATAACTGACTCTTTCTTTTTTTGTAGTTATCTCTACATAGCCCGGGCAAATAATCCTCCATTCATTCGTTACAATCGAGCTGATGGCTCCATGAAACTGTTCGACAACGTTTTTGGCTCAGCGCAGTCGATTTCCGTTGATGAATACGATGATGTTATCTACTGGGCTAATTTCCAAGATGGCGTGCACAAGATTATGAAAACTTCCATGAACGAGGAAACAGTGTATTTAAACATCACATATGCTGACCAAATCGAGTTGGCAACCGATGTTTTTAATTTGTATGTCCTTAAAAAAGGCAGCACCTCTATCGATAGATATTTAAAAGCATCGCTTGAAAAGCAAGGAAACATTACCTATGATTATGCTATATCCGACCTTATTATTACATATGGTAAGTTTGTATATGTACAAGGAAAACTAATTGATAGCTAGTGGTTTCTTCTGGTTGTTCTGAAATATTTCGTGTATCATTAATTTGCGCTGTGGTAGCTGAGAGTCTTGGCTGTGGTGTGACAAGACGAATCACTCGGGTCTATTGTCGCAGATACATTTGCCGAGCACAGCTACTCTCCGAGCATTATAACGCTTTATAACTTTTTGTTGATGGTGACTATTTTGTAACAGATAGTGATTTAGGATTCCTACAAAATTTTCATAAAATATTCTTTCTAACTTTCTGTAACTAGTATCGCGTTTACACGTTGTTTTATAATAAAAAATGTTTCCTTTCACATCATGTAGACGAAGATGAATGTTGTGTTGGAACTTTCTGCCACGTGAACTCTTCATGTGCAAATTCTCTCGGTAGTTTTAATTGTTCCTGCAACGATGGCTTTTCAGGAAATGGCTCGTATTGTGAAGGTATTCCATTGTTCTTTTGGACGGTGTTTATTGAGCAACGCTTTTTAATAATATGGCACCAAATTACTTGTTCACTTGTAAATATCTCTGAAACATAACTTTACATTCACTTGTAGATATCAACGAATGTTCAGTAAACAACCCATGCCACCAAAATGCTACCTGCTCAAATAATATTGGGTCATTCCGGTGTGATTGTGATGAAGGTTTTGAAGGAAATGGCCGTGATTGTGAAGGTATATTAGTTATAGAGCTTGCAGTGCGCAAACCGTTCATTTTAACTTTTCATTTTATTGACAACGAGTCTCATTTCAGCATTATGTTCTGAATAGTTTGCTAGACTTCGAATAATAATGAGATGGCGTTGAGGATTATCATAATTCCCAAAATTATGACGGGAAGCTGAATTCAACAGGCATTTTATTAGTAACCTCGCTTAGGTGTGAAACAACTTCAAGACCTCAGCTAATGTGCCGTTGTCAAACATTTAATTTCTTCTCCCCTATATAAATATGTTTTAAATATTTTTAGTGTATTTTTAGTGTCTTCAAAATCCTTTACGTCCAAAAGTTTCTTAATTGACATCGTGTTTAGGAACGTGTGCAAACGTCGCCTAATTTTATTTTCTCAAAACAGTCTTTGCTCGCATGAAAAAATTGTGGAAACTATTATTCATATACATGACGTCATTATTACAGAATACCACAAATTATTTCTCGTAGGTGGCTACTGGCAATTTTATATGCAGCAAATAATAAAATACGTGCATTTTGTTCGGAAACTTTGTACGGTTTGTATAAATTTTATAAATAAATTTATTTATTTCCAGCAACCAACTGCAGTGTTATAAGTTGTGGTGAGAATGAACGATGTGATCAAGTGAATGGCCTCTTTAAGTGTGTTTGCAAAGACGATTATAAAGAACCTGATTGTCTTTTAGGTAAAATATGTTTTTGTTTTTTATCTAGTAAATTATAATGTTGCGTAGATTTGATCAATATTTTGACAGTAAGATGCCAGACGGGAATCATATCTTTAGCATATATAAAATAATGCGGAACAAGAGCGTTTCCGCGACCAAAACTACTGATATATGTGCTCTGAAAAACACCACGTATATCTCGAATTTCAATTATAATAGACGAGGGCTGCGCCTACCATCTCTAGCAAATTCTGCAGACCACACCCTATTCTCAGTCAGTTTTGTACTTGCACCCCCCCCCCTCCCAATAGGACGCACGGTAGGCCAGTCAGACCGTCAGTATGTCAGGCAATCAGTCGATCAGTTATTTTAGGATATGCAAGGAAGAAAAAGCCTATGTAGTATATTATTTATATTTCCCCTGTGTTTAACTTTAGCAAAAATTAGAAAATATTTTTTTAAAAAATAGGCTAGCGACCTACTGCCTGGAAGTCCTTTCAGGGACAATGTTAATATTCATGATTTCTCTATTTCTTAATTTTTGTGTAGCTGAAGCGACGTGTGTAGCTTATGGAGATCCTCATTACAGGACACTCGATGGAAAACGTTTTGACTTCATGGGTAAATGCGAATATGTTCTGGCTAAAGACAGAGTAAACAACACATTTGAAGTAAGACAAGAAAATGAACCTTGTGGAAATGGACTAGTAACATGTACGAAATCAATAACAGTCATCTTCCGGGATGTAACTATTAAACTCAAAAGGGGATCAACTTCAGTTAATGGTGGTGAGGTAACACTGCCGTTCTCATATAAAGGTGAGGTAATAATGACGTACGACCTTCTCTTGCAATTGAATGTTCGGCCTCATATCTTGGTTGTACTAAACCTATTTTTTGATTGGAGTGTGGGGTGTGCTACGTCAAAATAATTATATGAACCTGAAAATTAACTTGCTCCATGCCTGAACTGCGAACAGGCTTTCTCTAGGAAAGAATCGATTATTGACATTTAAGCCATGGTATAATTATTAGTTATAATTATTGTAATTCGATATATGATACTCATATAATAGATTTAGATATCTATATACCTCATTAAAGAAATTGCACTCGGTCGACAGTATTATCAACACTAAATTAACATTATCTTTCAAGGCGTAAACATTTCCAAGCACGGAAGTGGTCAAGTAATAACAAGTGATTATGGTGTGAAAGTATTTTGGAGCAATGTCTACAACGTACGAGTGGTTGTTCGAGGTCGATACTTAAACAGAACATCAGGTTTATGTGGTACTTATAATGAAATGAAATATGATGACTTCTGGACGTCTTATGGAACAATCGTAACTGACCCAGTAGAGTTTGGAAATTCTTGGAAAGTCGATCCTACATGTGAAAATGCAACTGCAGTAGACCACCCATGTGACGCCAATCCAGAGAGAAGATTGATAGCACGAGAGAATTGTTCAACATTACTTAAACCACCCTTCAGTAATTGCTCCAGTTATATCAATGCAACTGAAGAAGGATATATTGCAGGTTGTGAATATGATATGTGTGCTTGTGAAGATGATTCTGTTGTTTGTTATTGTCAAGCTCTTGAAGCTTACGCTGATGATTGCTCTTCCAACGTCGAAATTGATTGGATGAATTTAGATGAATTCGCCATTTGCAGTGAGTAAATTCGCTAGATTACTATCCTATTAAGAGCTCAAATATGATATAATAACTGCCTAAAATACCCTACCTAATGATACTTTTGTGTCTCTAACAAAACTCTCCAACTTTTGTCGTGACATGTAATGTGTAAAAATGAAAACCCACGTAATGATATTGATTGTTCACGTTTTTGATAACAGAAAATATAACAGGACGAATTATTCGGTACATTAATTTAAAAATCATATACTCCTCGTTAACAAACTAATCTCCTTGGGCCAGTTGTACAGTATAATATAAAAGACTAGTTGAAGTGCCTATATCACTCGTGGGATCTTTATGCATTTGAAAAGAACGTAAAAAGTTAGTTAATATATTAAAAAACGTTTTTTGATATAGTGCAATGATTTCGAAGATACAAGCCTCTAAACTACCTGCGGTTCCTGAGTCCCAACCTCCTGGGTTTAAACACGGCTATTCAATTTGAAACTGCCTGTTGTTTACAGGAGCCTGGGACTCAGGAACTGCAGGTAGTCTAAAGGCTAGTATCTAATATATTAACTAACTTTTTACATTGTTTTCAAATGCATGAAGATTCCACGAGTGATATAGGCACTTTAACTTTTGACTGTAGTTAAGGAGAGAATTTGCTAATCAGAGTTGTGTTTTTCTGAGTTGACTATAGGATTTAACTATGAAAGTTTAGCGCGGCTGATTGTTTTTGTAAACACTTTTATGATTAGTCATTAATTGCACCCCTTTTTGTTCGTTTACCGTTATTATTGAGTGGTCAAAAGCTTTACTCGAAACAAACGAGCTTTACTAACGCATTTTTCTTCATTATTATAATTATGAGCATGTTTTTTCCCCACAGGTACCCCGTGTGCAAGCGCGCCATGTTATAACGGAGGAAGCTGTACAAACGTTGGTCACAATTCATTTGAGTGTAGATGTCCTGCTGGATTTCTGGGAGATAGATGTGAAATGAAAGGTACATAGAATAGAAATAGTAGACTAATAGACTAAAGCGGCTCATTTGTAGCTTCGTACACCAAATGTTTTGTTTTTATTGTAAATATTTGATGTTTTTGCTACGCTAATGTGTTGGTGCGTCGTTGTTGTTGTCAAACAATGATATATTGGCGAAGGATTACAGCAATGTCAGCATAACAGTTCTGCTCTTGGCAATAGGAAGTCTGCATGTTTATTTAAAAGGAAATTGTCTTTTTTCGCATGCTTCTTTAACATACTACGAACAATGCCATACCCATTTAGCGCGTATGTGAAACTAATATTAGGCTATATAGTCCCCGATCAGAAATTAAGTGGGTCATTTTAATTTCGTTTACTAATCTTCCAATCTTTGTTTTGTACTTTTGCATAAGAAGGTACCATCACTCTATATAATCTTTGATATAATAACATTTCATTGAAACATGAATAGAATGTCTTTTTATAACAACATTTTGAGTTTACGTTGTTGTTTATAGATCTTTGCCAAATACCATATTTATTCTTCTCAACATCATTGGGAACGGTGTCTTATAAAACAGAAAACTTCACAAGTATCCCAATGAAGGTTGACGATAGAGTTGGCGCCTTATTGTCATATGATGGTATCAACAAACGGTTATATCTCTATGTTGATGGTGAAGGAATCACAAGTTATTATTTAGATGGTTCTGATGAGATGACAACAAACATCGGAAATGTAGACTTTCTCACCGTCGATGGAAGAAACAATTTGATATATTACTACCATAAATTGCATAGTAGAATATATGTGTACAATATTACTAGTGGCCAATCGCAAGGGACTGAAGTTGATGCTCTCTCAGATATATCTAGTGTAAAAGATCTGGAAATGGACATGATAAATGGGTAAGTCTGTTAAATATTGTTTTCTTAAGATTTTTTTTCACAAATATTTAGGTTTTCATTTTTATTTCACATGTAATGTATTTTCTAACCAAAACGATTATAAAAATAATATATTATATTTGATGGCAGCAACTGTCAACTTTCTTTCAAATATTACTTTGTTGTTATTGCACGTAAGACTTTATGAAAATGCTCCAGGCTTGTTTAATTATTAGTTATGTCAGTGTAAGTTGTAACTGAGTTACTTTAATTTCCTTCACAGTTACCTCTACATAGCAAGAGCAGGTGATCCTCCAATCGTACGTTATAACCCAGCAGATAAATCAATAATGGAGTTCAATTTTGATGGCTCAGCTCAGTCAATTTCTTTGGATGTGTACAATAACGTCATTTACTGGGCAAACTATGATGGAATCAATCACAATGTTATGAAAACTAGCCTCAATAAGCAAACAATTGGTTTAAACATTAGTTATCCTGGGGGGGTTGACTTGACGTCTGATGTTCTAAATTTGTATGTCTTGGACACCAGCAACAACCGTATTGATAAGTACTTGAAGACATCGCCCGAAAAACAAGGAAATTTTACCTACCATGTTACGATAAATGACTTGATAATTGCATATGGTGAGTTTCACTCTTTTTCTTACTTCAACGTACATCAAACATAAGAGATGAAATTTCTGACATTACATTTTTTTACTGACTTGGTTACTCAATTTCCTGTCGTTGTAAACATATTTTAAAAATTCATATTTTAGCTCTGCTCTGCCTAAGTGTGTTTCAGTACTACCACACACAATAGAGTATAACAGAACATGTGTTGTTATTGAATGTTGGTTTTGATTTTTATCAGCAGGCTCATGCACAGACAAAACTTATAAACATTTTATTCATTTACAGACCATGATGAATGTTGTGCTGGAACCTTCTGTCACGTGAACTCTTCATGTGCAAATTCTCTTGGAAGTTTCAACTGCTCCTGCAATGAGGGATTTGCTGGAAATGGCACTTATTGTGAAGGTAACTTTCAATATGTATTAAAATGACGCTAACCTGCGCAACTAGCCAATGGATGATTCCACCTACAAACAAAAATTTTTTTTCCAGAAGAATAAAATCTAACAACACAGGTAGAAGAGTACTGGAGTAAAAATCCCCAGCCCCTTAGCTATATTTTCTGTTGCATGTAGCTCTAGGTGCATGTTAGCAATCGTGAAGGAATGAGACGACAACAAGTCATTCGTATTTTCGAGCAGTTTTGTATCACTGTCAGTGGAAACTGTGATTCCGTGCAATGGGATGTGTGATAATTGTGATTATTGAGACATTGAAATGACGGTTTTTTTAAAAAAAATTCCGCCAATTATAGATTTTCTTGTATATGCCTAGTTCTACTTTTCTCCAAAATACTTAATTGCTCATATTTTCAGGCTTGGATAATCTAAACTATAATTTTATTAATTTGAATTAATTTTTTAATTCCTGCATGTAAATAATTGTGTGAAGAATTTCCTCTGTGTTAGACATTTTTTACGGAAAATTTTCACATTTCTACACCATTTTTATGGATATCTAGTTATTGATTTTGAAACAAAGTATTTCAAATGATATTTTTCCTAACATGCAGTTTAAAATCTTTTAATGCCTCCTTTAAACTATCCTTGTATAATATAAAAAAAATTCAATAAAATAATCAACAATTTGTTCTTAAAATAAAAATTGTTAATATTACAGCATTACGTATTTGTATTACGCCAAGATGTATAATATGTACTAAACCTCTATCAATCCATAATAAAGTAGTCTACAACTAAAATCATCTATTGAAGTGCGACTATCTGTTATTGGACACTTACCCCCCCCCCCGCGCCAAAAAAAAAATTTACCCCACTTCTCAAAATTTTTCGATTCCGTTAAACATTTAATTGGTAGCCACCAAATTGGTCAAATGGAAAAAAAATAAAAGCAGCTCTGTTTGACGATATTAATTTACATTGTAGACGTCAACGAATGCTTAATGAGCAATTACTGCCACGAAAATGCTACGTGCAAAAATAAAATTGGGTCATTTAAATGTGATTGTAATGAAGGTTTCATAGGAGATGGTCGTGATTGTAAAGGTAACGTTTAGATCTTTGCACCTTTTACGCTGATAAATCAGGTCTAATAATTCTCTTCCTTGGTTTATGGATAGCTCATTCTAAAATTTTAAGCAATATTTTTCAGCTACGAACTGCAGTCTTCTTTCTTGTGGCGAAAACGAACAGTGTGTTCGGGCAGATGATATCTTTAAGTGTATTTGCAAAGACGATTATGAAGAACCTGATTGCCGTTTAGGTAAGCTCGAGCATATGGCACATGTTCATATTTGTTTAAACTTTTCCTACCACCAATAACTACTAAAATCTTGATATTTGTGTCTGTGAATATATATAAGATATATTCTCTGAATATCTTTGCCCCCAAATGATTGATATTTTTCAACGGTATACATCACGGTATACTACATTCAACGTTATACTACATTCAATGTGTATATTTCAACAGTAAAAGCCACCTGCAATGCTCGAGGTGATCCGCACTACTCCACATTTGATGGAAAACTCTTTGATTTCATGGGAAAATGCGAATATGTTCTTGCTAAGGACAGTGTGAACAACACATTTGAAATAAGACAAGTGAATGAAGAATGTGGAAATGGTGAACCTTCCTGTACAAAATCACTGACAGTGATGTTCCCAAATGTGACAATTCAACTTCTGCGGGGAAGTGTGACAGCGAATGGCATGACAATCTCATTATCAACAATGTATATGGGTAAGTAAACATGGCTTTAAAACTGTGCAACCGGTTTATCAAGACACGACCTAAAATCCTCCTGTTTCTTGCAAGTACTTTAATACGGTTGTAACATCATTCTTTCTTTTAGCCAACGGAGTGAAGATATCCCAACCCAGAAGTGGCATTACGTTGGTCGAAAGCGATTACGGTGTCGAAGTTGAGTGGAACAACGTTCATAATGTGAGAGTGACAGTGTTTGGTCGGTACCTGAACCGAACATCTGGTTTATGTGGAACATACAATCGATATCGCGGAGATGATTTCTTGATGTCAAATGGTACAACAACAGACAATGAAGTAGAATTTGGCAATTCTTGGAAAACTGACCCTGACTGTGAAGATGCAACATTTGTTGATCATCCTTGTACAACAAATCCTGACAGAAATGCAACTGCAAGAGCCAACTGTTCAGCTCTACGCGATTCTCCATTTGATAAATGCTCAAGTTATATCAACCCAGACTCAGAGGGTTATATTAGCGATTGTGAATACGATGTTTGTGCTTGTGATGATCATCCAACTGTTTGTTTATGTCAAGCAATAGAGGCGTATGTAGATGACTGTGCCTCGTATGGAGTGAATATTACCTGGTTGAGTTATCCTCAATATCAGCAATGTAGTGAGTAATCAATTCCGTTTTTCTCCGCTAAATGAAGACAAATGTCTATGTATTGTGTACTTAGCGACGTCGGATAAATAGAAACTGAATGCCTAAACTAATTTCTATTAATGGCAGCCTCACGTTTTTTTACAACAGTACAGCTTATGATAAGGTTAACCCTAACTTATTCTCTATTCAGCTACTCCTTGTGCTAGTGATCCTTGTTTCAATGGTGGTACTTGTACAAATATTCATAGTAACTTTTCGTGTTCATGTCCTGTCGGGTTTACTGGTCACCGCTGTGAAATGAAAGGTAAATATTTTATGTTTTTTTCTGATAGAGTAAATTAAGGCTGTTTTGCTTCACTCAGAATGATTTTCTATTTGATATTGTAAAAGCCTTAATGGAGGATAACTTGCTATATGAATTGCAATGTAAGTTTCTAACGCCTGTAAAAGATATCATAGAGTGTCGTGCATAACGGACAATTACCATCGCATTGCTACAAACGCAATGTTTGCCGGCAACATTCTGTAAAATGCAGAAAGTACCAGAATAATTCGCTGTAATACTCAAATAATATTCTTGAAATTTTCACTGCATGGTGAATTGCATGATACTAGCTTCAATTAAAGTAATCATTTAACGCCCGGGTTATTGTAACCGGCCGAAAGCTTTGCATATAATAAACACACGCGTTGTTCCAAAAAAAATTTTTACTGCATGCACAGGTCTTACTGACTTCAAAATTATTTCTTTTATTTGCATTTTGTATACCGTCCACTGATATTTGTAACTAAACGGCGGATGAAAGATTTTTATTTATTATTTTTATCGTAGTTGATGATTGTGATGATCTATCTTGTGGTAAAAATGAAGTTTGTGTCAGAGTTGGAGATACGTTTGATTGCGTTTGTCATCAAGATTACACAGGAGATGATTGTAAAGAAAAAGGTTGGTATACGTCTAATAGCACCATTATATTTTTAGGAATGGATTTCTTGTAATTTTCATCATTTTGTTTATTTCCGGTAAAAGGATTCTTATATCTTTTTGAGGACCTTAGATTTAATGTTTATTTCGGGCAAGGTGATTCTTATATCTGCGTATACAATCTTCTCTACGGTTTCGATAATCCTGTACAAGTTCAGTAAAATTTGGCTGAAAGGGATGACTGTCATCATCGATTTTGCTTCACTGTTTTAAAAGTTAATACCGCACAATATAATTTTGCTTCAAGTCACCGTCCAAATGTTTTTCGCAAATTACTGTTGATGGTTATGGTTTCATTTGAGATCGACCTCTCCTCTGTTATTATTCCGTAGTGAAAAGTAGTATCCTAAAATGTGGTCACTGGTAAACATAACGATTAAAAAAGACCCATTTTTCTTCGAGCAAAAAAGAACCATTCTTCACATTCTGTATTTTTCCACATTTCTAGTCGAAGCGACATGTGTAACTTATGGAGATCCTCATTATAGAACGTTCGATGGAAAACGTTTTGACTTTATGGGTAAATGCGAATATGTTCTGGCTAAAGACAGAGTAAACAACACATTTGAAATAAGACAAGAAAATGAACCTTGTGGAAATGGACTAGTAACATGTACGAAATCAATAACAGTCATCTTCCCGGGTTTAACTATCAAACTTCAGAGAGGAATGACTAATGTGAATGGTGGAGAGATCAGCTCGTCGACAAACTACGGGGGTAAAATTTTTCTTCTAGTTTAAATAGATTTACAAAATTTGTTGCGTGTTGATTTATTTTGATGCATTCATTAACTGTGGTTGGTAGTGACAAGTATACCGCACACACAAATTTACATAAAACAACAAATGAACGTTCAGAATACATCATTACAAAAGATTGCAAAACTGCCACATTTTGGCTAACCACCATGCATCCAGTATTATTGGGGCTTTTTCATTTTTTTTCAGCTGTAAACGTTACAATTCATGGCAATGGTAGGACCGTCGTGACAAGTGATTATGGTGTAACTGTGTTTTGGAACAATGTTTATAATGTTCGAGTAACAATCGGAGGTCGATACGTGAACAGGACATCAGGTTTATGTGGTACTTATAACAAAATGAAATATGATGATTTCTGGACACCTTACGGTACCATCGTAGGTGATCCAGTCGAGTTTGGAAATTCTTGGAAAGTCGATCCTACATGTGAAAATGCAACTACAGTGGACCACCCATGTGACGCCAATTTAGAGAGAAGATTGATAGCACGAGAGAATTGTTCAGCATTACTCAAGCCACCCTTCAGTAATTGTTCCAGTTATATCAATGCAACTGAAGAAGGATATATTGCAGATTGTGAATATGATATGTGTGCTTGTGAAGATGATTCTGTTGCTTGTTATTGTCAAGCGCTTCAAACGTATGCTGATGATTGCTCTTCTGATGTCAAAATAACGTGGATGAATTTAGAACAATTTGCCATTTGCAGTAAGTATAGATAAAGATGTGAATATAGAAGGTAAACTCCATTGCGTTACGAAATTAGAATTGCAATAAAAGCATTCGTTTCATATCTAGACTAAAAAATTAATACAAGGCTCCATACGTTTCAGTTTTCTAGTCACAAGCGTTCATTATATAGTTGGTAAAACTAAAACTACAGGAAATTACCGTTGTAAACACTTAGACAAAATAAGACAAATATTATAAAAGGCTAAAAACTAATTTTACTATGCGATAGATATGGCAAACATTTTTTATACAACAAACTATAATTATGAGTACTTTGCCTCTGTTTTAGACGCGCCGTGCGCCAGTGCTCCATGTTATAATGGCGGAACCTGTACAGACATTGATTCTTCGTCATTTGAATGTAGATGTCCTGCCGGATATATTGGTGCCCGATGTGAGAACAAAGGTAAATACAAATCCATTTGGACTTTTGTACGATAATGATCATAAGAATTTTTCAATGTCCTCGTGAACCATAGAATGGACATGGCCGATTATTTTTTCACCCGGAAGGTCTCGTTTAAAATGTTTCAGCGTATTGTGATGTATGAGGATACTCAGAGTCAAAGCGGGAATGCTTCAGCATGTCCAGTTGCTAACTCATGCAGAGTATAGCCCCATCACAATATTAATTCACCCGATCGAGTCCTATGCAGAATCGCTATATTTCAGCATGCCAGCGGTAGATAATACTAACTATATTTTATTGTACATTTGCCCTGCTGAATATGTTTATTGATCTTTCGTGCTGTTCGCATGACCCCGTATACAGATATATTAAACTATAAACCTGAAATATACATGACCAATACGATGTACCATGTCCCGGGCCTCCAGAACCACGGGGCAGCGGAGCAGTTTTCTCTTTTTATGCTCATAGACATCGAATGTCTCATTTCGTAATTTTCTTTCTTCAATATGTTTGTGCTGCCGAAAGCAGAAGTACGCATGCAACGTTGAATTCCATAAAATTCCATTCTTCATTATTTTGAAGATTGAATAAAGACGCGCGCTGTTCTAAATTACATCATTTTCCTTGTTTGTCTTTGCAAACGAAAGTCGACCCTTTTTCGAGATTCTGTCCCCCCCCCCAATCCTTGATTGCTTACGGTGCCTCTGACCATGTTGGAAGGGATGAGATGCTCTTTAATAGACTTAGACCCTATAATAAAATTTGTACTTTTCAACCTTACCATGCGCGATGAACACTACAACTATGACGAGACAATTCTATCATTAACGAAAAATGACTAAACGTCGACGTCTATTGTTTGCATAAATTGGAATTTTATTATCAATTTAGAGTACATGATTCACAGAGCATATTTTTAGCTAGTGTACAGATATTCAAATTTATATCTCAAGTTGCCGGTGTAATTTAGACACCTGCATGTGGTAGAGCGAATTAGCGAAGATAATCTTAGGTTTTTTCAGGACAACATTCTTAGTTTGTATTTCTGTTATAGATCTTTGCCAAATACCATATTTATTCTTGTCAACATCATCGGGAACGGTCTCTTATAATACAGAAAACTCCACAAGTATCCCAATGAAGGTTGACGATAGAGTAAACGCCTTATTGTCATATGATGCTATCAACAGACGGTTATATCTCTATGATGTTGGTGAAGGAATCACAAGTTATTATTTAGATGGTTCTGATGAGATGACAACAAACATCGGAAATGTGAAGTTATTCACTGTCGATGGAAGAAACAATTTGATGTATTACTACCATGAACTGCATAGTAGAATATATGTGTACAATATTACTAGTGGCCAATCGCAAGGGACTGAAGTTGATGCTCTCAAAGATATATCTAGTGTAAAAGATCTGGAAATGGACAAACAAATGGGTAAGGCGAAGCAAGGCTTGTTTTCTTACGATTTTTTTCAAAGATGTTTAGGTCTTTATATTAATTTTACAAGGAATATATTCCTCAACAAAACGTGTGTAAAATGAATATGTTTGATGACAGCAACTCTCAACTTTCTTTCAAATTGTACTTTGTTGTTATTGCACGTAAGACTTTATGAAATTGCTCCAGGCTTGTTTAATTATTAGTTATGTCTGTGTAAGTTGGTATTGAGTTACTTTAATTTCCTTCACAGTTACCTCTACATAGCAAGAGCAGGTGATCCTCCAATCGTACGTTATAACCCAGGAGATAACACAATAATGGAGTTCAATTTTGATGGTTCAGCGCAGTCAATTTCTGTGGATGAGTACAATAACGTCATTTACTGGGCAAACTATGATGGAATCAATCACAATGTTATGAAAACTAGTCTCAATAAGCAAACAATTGGTTTAAACATTAGTTATCCTGGGGCGGTTGAATTGACGTCTGATGTTCTAAATTTGTATGTCTTGGACACCAGCAACAACCGTATCGATAAGTACTTGAAGACATCGTCCGAAAAACAAGGAAATTTTACCTACCATGTTACGATAAATGACTTGATAATTGCATATGGTGAGTTTCGCTCTTTTTCTTACTTCAATTTACATTAAACATAAGACATAAAGTTACTGACATTACATTATTTTTACTCACTTGGTTACTCAATTTCTTGTCGTTCTAAACATATTTTATAAAATAAATTCTTATTTTTGCTCTGCTCTCAGTATAACAGAACATGTGTTATTATTGAATGTTGGTTTTGATTTTTATCAACAGGCTCACAGAAAGAACTTATAAACATTCTATTCATTTATAGACCATGATGAATGTTGTGCTGGAACCTTCTGTCACGTGAACTCTACATGTGCAAATTCTCTTGGAAGTTTCAACTGCTCCTGTAATGAGGGATTTGCTGGAAATGGCACTTATTGTGAAGGTAACTTTGCATGTATATTAAAATCACACTAACCTGCGCAACTAACCAATGGATGATCCCTACTTAAATACTTAACTGCTTTTTTCAGATGTGGGTAATCTAACCTATAATTTTTATTCATTTGAATTAATTTTTTAATTCCTGAATGTAAATAATTGTGTGAAGAATTTCCTCTATATTACACATTTCTTGAGGAAAATGTTTACATATCTACATAATTTTTATGCATATCTAGTTATTGATCTTAAAACAAAGTGTTTCAAATGATATTTTTCCTAACATGCAGTTTAAAATCTTTTAATGCCTTCTTTAAACTACCCCCTGTATAATATAACAAAAATCCAATAAAATTACAAAGTTTATTCTCAAAATATAAATTGTCAATATTACAGCATTACGAATTTCTATTAAGCCAAGATGAACAATTTGTACTAAAACTCTATCAATCTGTAATAAAGTAGTCTACAACTTAAATCATCAATTGAAATACAGACTATCTGTTATCGGACATTTGGTAGTCACCAAATTGGTCAAATCGGAAAAAATAAAAGCAGCTCTATTTAACGATATTAATTTACATTGTAGACGTCAACGAATGCCTAATGAGCAATTACTGCCACGAAAATGCTACGTGCAAAAATAAAATTGGTTCATTTGAATGTGATTGTGATGAAGGTTTCATAGGAGATGGTCGTGATTGTAAAGGTAACGTTTAGATTGTATATATTCAGTAGCAATGATCTTTGCACCTTTTACGCTGATAAATCAAGTCTAGTAATTCTCTTCCTTGGTTTATGGATAGCTCATTTTAAAATTTTAAGCAATATTTTTTAGCTACGAACTGCAGTCTTCTTTCCTGTGGCGAAAACGAACAGTGTGTTCGAGCAGATGATATCTTTAAGTGTATTTGCAAAGACGATTATGAAGAACCTGATTGCCGTTTAGGTAAGCTCGAGCATATGGCACATGTTCATATTTGTTTTTAAACTTTTCCTACCACCAATGCTTACTGAAATCTTCATATTTGTGGCTGTGAATATATCTATGATATATTTTATGAATATCTTTTCCCCCAAATGATTGATATTTTTCAACAGTATATACATCACGGTATACTGCATTCAACGTTATACAACATTCAATGTGTATATTTCCACAGTAAAAGCCACCTGCAATGCTCGAGGTGATCCGCACTACTCCACATTTGATGGAAAACTCTTTGATTTCATGGGAAAATGCGAATATGTTCTGGCTAAGGACAGTGTGAACAACACATTTGAAATAAGACAAGTGAATGAAGAATGTGGAAATAGTGAACCTTCCTGTACAAAATCACTGACAGTGATGTTCCCAAATGTGACAATTCAACTTCTGCGGGGAAGTGTGACAGTGCATGGCACGACAATCTCACTATCAACAATGTATATGGGTAAGTAAACATGGCTATATTCGTTTGTGGGAATTTACTGCTCCTCTCCTTGATTTTTTTATCTACTGGATTAGTCTGGATATTACACATATTAGTCATAATTTTGTCTATTCACTAATAATATGTTATCTATACAATTGTATTTAGCCAAAATATTATCCTGATGTGTGAAGTTAAATCCTTTTCATATAGTTATGTACATGCGTAATATGCGTAAATCAAGACAGGACGTAAAGTCCTCCTGTTTCTTGCAAGTACTTTAATACGCTTGTAACATCATTTTTTCTTTTAGCCAACGGAGTGAAGATATCCCAACCCAGAAGTGGCATTACGTTGGTCGAAAGCGATTACGGTGTCGAGGTTGAGTGGAACAACGTTCATAATGTGAGAGTGACTGTGTTTGGTCGGTACCTGAACAGAACATCTGGTTTATGTGGAACATACAATCGATATCGCGGAGATGATTTCTTGATGTCAAATGGTACAACAACAGACAATGAAGTAGAATTTGGCAATTCTTGGAAAACTGACCCTAGCTGTGAAGATGCAACATTTGTTGATCATCCTTGTACAACAAATCCTGACAGAAATGCAACTGCAAGAGCCAACTGTTCAGCTCTACGCGATTCTCCATTTGATAAATGCTCAAGTTATATCAACCCAGACGCAGAGGGTTATATTAGCGATTGTGAATATGATGTTTGTGCTTGTGATGATCATCCAACTGTTTGTTTATGTCAAGCAATAGAGGCGTATGTAGATGACTGTGCCTCGTATGGAGTGAATATTACCTGGTTGAGTTATCCTCAATATCAGCAATGTAGTAAGTAATCAATTCCGTCTTTATCTGCTAAATGAAGACAAATGTAAATGTATTGTGTACTTAGCGACGTCGGATAAATAGAAAATGAATGGCTAAACTAATTTCTAGTAATGGCAGCCTCACCTTTTTTTACAACAGTACAACTTATGATAAGGTTAACCCAAACTTATTCTCTATTCAGCTACTCCTTGTGCTAGTGATCCTTGTTTCAATGGTGGTACTTGTACAAATATTCATAGTAACTTTTCGTGTTCATGTCCTGTCGGGTTTACTGGTCACCGCTGTGAAATGGAAGGTAAATATTTTATGTTTTTTTCTGATAGAGTAAATTAAGGCTGTTTTGCTTCACTCAGAATGATTTTCTATTTGATATTGTAAAAGCCTTAATGGAGGACAACTTGCTATATAAATTGCAATGTAAATTTTTAATACCTGTAAAAGATATCATAAAGTGTGGTGCATAACGGACAATTAGCATCGCATTGCTACAAACGCAATGTTTGACGGCAACATTCTGTAAAATGCACAAAGTACGGAAATAATTCGCTGTAATACTCAAATAAGATTCTTGAAATTTTCACTGCATGGTGAATTGCATGATGATAGCTTCGATTAAAGTAATCATTTAACGCCTGGGTTAACTAGCCGAAAGCTTTCCATATAATAAATACACACGTTGCTCCAAAAAATTATTTAGTTTGCACAAGTCTTACTGCCTGCAAAATTATTTCTTTTGTTTGCATTTTGTATACCGTCCACTGATATTTGTAACTGAACGGCGGACGAAAGGTTTTTATTTATTATTTTAATTTAGTTGATGATTGTGATGATCTATCTTGTGGTGAAAATGAAGTTTGTGTCAGAGTTGGAGATACGTTTGATTGCGTTTGTCATCAAGATTATACAGGAGATGATTGTAAACAAAAAGGTTGGTATGCGCGTCTAATAGCACCATTATATTTTTTAGGAATGGTTTCTGGTAATTTTCATTCATTTTAAGGACCTTAGATTTAATGTTTATTTCGGGCAAATGTTTATTTACATCGGTGTATACAATTTTCTACGGTTTGGAACATCATGTACAAGTTCAGTAAAATTTGGCTGAAAAGGATGACTGTCATAATCGATTATGCTTCTCTGTTTTAAAAATTAATACCACACAATATCATTTCGCTCCAAGTCACTGTCCAAATGCAATTCACGAATTACTGTTGATGGTTATGGTTTAACTTGAGATCGACCTCTCCTGGGTTATTATTCCGTAGTGAAAAGTAGTGTCCTAAAATGTGGTCACTGGTAAACATAACGATTAAAAAAGAGCCATTTTTCTTCGAGGAAAAAAGAACCATTTTTCACATTCTGTATTTTTTCCACATTTCTAGTCGAAGCGACGTGTGTAACTTATGGAGATCCTCATTATAGAACGTTCGATGGAAAACGTTTCGACTTCATGGGTAAATGCGAATATGTTCTGGCTAAAGACAGAGTAAACAACACATTTGAAATAAGACAAGAAAATGAACCTTGTGGAAATGGACTAGTAACATGTACAAAATCAATAACAGTCATCTTTCCGGGTTTAACTATCAAACTTCAGAGAGGAATGACTAATGTGAATGGTGGAGAGATCAGCTCGTCGACAAACTACGGGGGTAAATTTTTTTTTCTAATCTAAATAGATTTACAAAATTTGTTGCGTGTTGATTTATTTTGATGCATTCTATAACTGTGGTTGGTACTGACAAGACCGCACACACAAATTTACAAAACAACAAAATGAACGTTCAGAATACATAATTACAAAAGATTGCAAAATTGCCACATTTTGGCTAACGATGCATGCAGTATTATTAGGGCTTTTTCATTTTTTTCAGCTGTAAACGTTACAATTCATGGCAATGGTAGGACCGTCGTGACAAGTGATTATGGTGTAACTGTGTTTTGGAACAATGTTTATAATGTTCGAGTAACAATCGCAGGTCGATACGTGAACCGAACATCAGGTTTATGTGGTACTTATAACAAAATGAAATATGATGATTTCTGGACACCTTACGGTACCATCGTAGGTGATCCAGTAGAGTTTGGAAATTCTTGGAAAGTCGATCCTACATGTGAAAATGCAACTACAGTGGACCACCCATGTGACGCCAATGCAGAGAGAAGATTGATAGCACGAGAGAATTGTTCAGCATTACTCAAGCCACCCTTCAGTAATTGTTCCAGTTATATCAATGCAACTGAAGAAGGATATATTTCAGATTGTGAATATGATATGTGTGCTTGTGAAGATGATTCTGTTGCTTGTTATTGTCAAGCGCTTCAAACGTATGCTGATGATTGCTCTTCCGACGTCAAAATAACGTGGATGAATTTAGAGCAATTTGCCATTTGCAGTAAGTATAGATAAAGATGTGAATATAGAAGGTAAACTCCATTGCGTTACGAAATTAGAATTGAAAATAAAAGCATTCGTTTCATATCTAGACTAAAAAATTAATACAAGGCTCCATACGTTTTAGTTTTCTAGTCACAAAGGTTCGTTATATAGTTGGTAAAACTAAATCTAATGCAAATTGCCGTTGTAAATACTTTACAAAAATAAGAAAACTATTATTAAAGGCTAAAAACTAATTTTACTATGCGATAGATATGGCAAACTTTTTTATACAACCAACAATTATATGAGCACTTCGCCTCTGTTTTAGACACGCCGTGCGCAAGTGCTCCATGTTATAATGGCGGAACGTGTACAGACATTGATTCTTCGTCATTTGAATGTAGATGTCCTGCCGGATATATTGGTGCCCGATGTGAGAACAAAGGTAAAAAAAAATCCATTTGGACTTTTGTACGACAATAATTATAACAATTTTTCAATGTCTTCATGAAGCATAGAATGGACCTTATTCTTTTCCTTTTCCCAATTGCTAATTCATGCAGAGTATAGCATCATCATGCACAGTATTAATTCACCCGATCTAGTCATATTCACCATCGCTATAGATAATAATAACTTTATTTTAATATATATTTGCGCTGCTGAATATGTTTTTTGATCTTAAGGCCGGCGCACACTAGAGCTATGTGCTTAGCAAAAAGTCATTCGTGGCCATTGCCGTAGCCAGTTGCTCTCGTTTGCGGGCGACTTTTCCGGGGACTTTGGTCATTCGTGCCACTTACGGCTAATATCTGGCATGTTTGATAATTTCTGCCTCGCGCACCGAAATCTTTCCGTGTGCGGCGAAATGAAAGCTATCTGCTTATGGATTGTCTGAACAGCGCATGCGTAATATACGAAAGTAAACATCCAAGATGGCGAACAGTTTGCAAAAAATAAAATTATGGATGAAAGTGAAGACGAAGAGGTGTTGTTATTTTTACGTGGACGAAGCGATGGATCATGAGACGATATGGTCAAGGAGCTTTCGCAATCTTGTTCAAGTACTAAACTCAGAAGAGCCAGAGCAATTTGACAATTTCGACAATACCGTCATCTTGTCAGGCAATCATTTGAAATAATTTTTAACATTGTGAATCCGTTGACGCAACAGCAGCAAAAATGACAACACCTCTTCGTCTTCACTTTCACCCATAATTTTATTTTTTGCAATCTGTTCGCCATATTGGACTTTTGGTTTATTTTTGTATATTACACATGCGCTGTTAAGACAATCCATAAGCAGATAGCGTTCAGTTTGGCGCACACGAAAGATTTCGGCACGCTAGGCAGAAATTATCAAACAAGCTAGATATTTGCCGTAAGTGGCACGAATGACCAATATAGCTCGAGTGTGCGCAGGCCTTTAGGTGCTGTTCGCATGACCCCGTATACAAGTATATTTAACTATAAACCTGAAATACATTACCAATACGATGCACCATGTCCTTGGCTGCCGCAACCACGGGGGCAGTTTGCTCTTTTTATGCTCATAGACATTGAATGTCTCATTTCGTAATTTTCGTTCTTCAATATGTTTGTGCTGCCGAAAGCAGAAATACGCATGCAACGTTGAATTCCATAAAAATCCATTCTTCATTTGAACTGACACACATCTAAAATACATTATTTTCCTTGTTTGTCTTTGCAAACTAAAGTCGACCCTTTTTGGAAATTCTGTCACCCCCCCCCCCAACCCTTAATTGCTTATGGCGCCTCTGACCATGTTCGAAGGGATGAGATGCTCTTTAACAGGCTTAGACCCTATAATAAAATTTGTAATTTTCAACCTTACCATGCGCGATAAACACTACAACTACAACGAGACAATTCTATCATTAGCGAAAAATGACTAAACGTCGACTTCTATTGTTTGCCTAAATTGGAATTTTAATATCAATTTAGAGTAAATGATTCACAGAGGATATTTTTAGCTAGTGTACAGATATTCAAATTTATATCTCAAGTTTTCGGTGTAATTTAGACGCCTGCATGTGATAGAATGAATTAGCGAAGATAATGGTAGGTTTTTTCAGCACAACATTCTTAGTTTGTATTTCTGTTGTAGATCTTTGCCAAATACCATATTTATTCTTGTCAACATCATCGGGAACGGTGTCTTATAATACAGAAAACTCCACAAGTATCCCAATGAAGGTTGACGATAGAGTTGGCGCCTTATTGTCATATGATGCTATCAACAGACGGTTATATCTCTATGTTAATGGTGAAGGAATCACAAGTTATTATTTAGATGGTTCTGATGAGATGACAACAAACATCGGAAATGTGAAGTTATTCACTGTCAATGGAAGAAACAATTTGATGTATTACTACCATGAACTGCATAGTAGAATATATGTGTATAATATTACTGGTGATCAATTGCCAGCGATTGAAGTTGATGCTCTCAAAGATATATCTAGTGTAAAAGATCTGGAAATGGACACAACAAATGGGTAAGGCGAGCAAGGCTTGTTTTCTTACGATTTTTTTCAAAAATGTTTAGGTTTTTATATTAATTTTACAAGGAATATATTCCTCAACCAAAACGTGTATAAAATGAATATATTTGATGACAGCGACTCTCAACTTTCTTTCAAATTGTACTTTGTTGTTATTGCACGTAAGACTTTATGAAATTGCTCCAGGCTTGTTTAATTATTAGTTATGTCTGTGTAAGTTGGTATTGAGTTACTTTAATATCCTTCACAGTTACCTCTACATAGCAAGAGCAGGTGATCCTCCAATCGTACGTTATAACCCAGCAGATAACACAATAATGGAGTTCAATTTTGATGGTTCAGCGCAGTCAATTTCTGTGGATGAGTACAATAACGTCATTTACTGGGCAAACTATGATGGAATCAATCACAATGTTATGAAAACTAGTCTCAATAAGCAAACAATTGGTTTAAACATTAGTTATCCTGGGGCGGTTGAATTGACGTCTGATGTTCTAAATTTGTATGTCTTGGACACCAGCAGCACCGTATTGATAAGTACTTGAAGACATCGTCCGAAAAACAAGGAAATTTTACCTATCATGTTACGATAAATGACTTGATAATCGCATATGGTGAGTTTCGCTCTTTTTCTTACTTCAACGTACATCAAACATAAGAGATAAAGTTTCTGACGTTACATTATTTTTACTGACTTGGTTACTCAATTTCCTGTCGTTCTAAACATATTAATTTTTAAGAATACATATTTTAGCTCTGCTCTGCCTAAGTGTGTTTCAGTGCTACCACACACAATAGAGTATAACAGAACATGTGTTGTTATCGAATGTTGGTTTTGATTTTTATCAGCAGGCTCGCAGAAAGAACTTATAAACATTCTATTCATTTACAGACAATGATGAATGTTGTGCTGGAAGCTTCTGTCACGTGAACTCTTCGTGTGCAAATTCTCTTGGAAGTTTCAACTGCTCTTGCAATGAGGGATTTGCTGGAAATGGCACTTATTGTGAAGGTAACTTCGCATGTATATTAAAATGACGCTAACCTGCGCAACTAGCCAATGGATGATTCCTACTTAAATACTTAATTGCTTACCAAATATAACCAAATTGGTCAAATGGGAAAAAAAATAAAAGCAGCTCTGTTTAATTTATATTGTAGACGTCAACGAATGCCTAATGAGCAATTACTGCCACGAAAATGCTACGTGCAAAAATAAAATTGGGTCATTTAAATGTGATTGTGATGAAGGTTTCATAGGAGATGGTCGTGATTGTAAAGGTAACGTTTAGATTGTATATATTCAGTATCAATGATTTTGCACCTTTTACGCTAAGAAATGAAGTTTAATAATTCTCTAGCTTGGTTTATGGAAATCTGATAGCTCATTTTAAAATTTTAAGCAATATTTTTTTAGCTACGAACTGCAGTCTTCTTTCTTGTGGCGAAAACGAACAGTGTGTTCGAGCAGATGATATCTTTAAGTGTATTTGCAAAGACGATTATGAAGAACCTGATTGCCGTTTAGGTAAGCTCGAGCATATAGCACATGTTCATATTTGTTTTTAAACTTTTCCTACCACCAATACTTACTGAAATCTTCATATTTGTGGCTGTGAATATATATATGATATATTCTATGAATATCTTTGCCCCCAAATGATTGATATTTTTCAACGGTATACATCACGGTATACTACTTCAACGTTATACAACATTCAATGTGTATATTTAAACAGTAAAAGCCACCTGCAATGCTCGAGGTGATCCACACTACTCCACCTTTGATGGAAAACTCTTTGATTTCATGGGAAGATGCGAATATGTTCTGGCTAAGGACAGTGTGAACAACACATTTGAAATAAGACAAGTAAATGAAGAATGTGGAAATGGTGAACCTTCCTGTACAAAATCACTGACAGTGATGTTCCCAAATGTGACAATTCAACTTCTGCGGGGAAGTGTGACAGCGAATGGCATGACAATCTCATTATCAACAATGTATATGGGTAAGTAACATGGCTATATTGATTTGTGAGAATTTACTGCTCCTGTCCTTGATTTTTTTATTTATAGGATATGACTCATATTAGCCATAATTTTGTCTATTTACTAATAATATGTTATTCATAGAATTGTATTTAGCCGAAATAATATCCTGAAGCGTAAAATCAAATCTTCTATGTAGCTATATGTGCATGTGTAATTTCTTAAACCGCTGCTGAGTGAACTTGGGGACAAACCGACGACCCATTGTACAGTTGCATTACGAAACTTAGATCTCTGGATATAAGACGATTCAATTGAACTTCTCGCATTATAACGTTTCTTTCATTTAAAATTGTGTAACCTGTTTATCAAGACAGAACCTAAAATCCTCGTGTTTCTTGCAAGTACTTTAATACGCTTGTAACATCATTATTTCTTTTAGCCAACGGAGTGAAGATATCCCAACCCAGAAGTGGCATTACGTTGGTCGAAAGCGATTACGGTGTCGAAGTTGAGTGGAACAACGTTCATAATGTGAGAGTGACTGTGTTTGGTCGGTACCTGAACAGAACATCTGGTTTATGTGGAACATACAATCGATATGGCGGAGATGATTTCTTTATGTCAAATGGTACAATAACAGATAGTGAAATAGAATTTGGCAATTCTTGGAAAACTGACCCTAACTGTGAAGATGCAACATTTGTTGATCATCCTTGTAAAACAAAATCCGGACAG